CCTCCTTCAACTTTGCTGAATGTTTGTTCAAGTTTTGTGTTGAACCATAACCATTCGCCATCAGCATCCAATGCCCCTTCAGGCGGCACCTTCGAGTTGTCATTCACCCAGGCCTCAGCCAGAGCGGATCGCCACTGCTGCCGTGTCATCTGGTCAGGTTGACGGAAACGTCTGGTGGGGACTCTGGCATAGCAATGGCCTTCAACACACTGCAATTGGAAAGCGACACCCTTGTGATCCCCGAAGGCTTCGACCATGAAAGCAGCGTTTCCCAACATATTGGGTGACAGGAGGGCATAGTCAATGGCACGTCGACCTTGCCACCTCGTAGGAAGGAGCTCCTCGCCTTCTTGAAGTGCCACAAAAGTAAAAGCAGCGTCTTGGAGCAAGAGGTTTTCGTGAGGTTGCCAGTTCCAGTCCCCCAAGATAGTAATGGGGATTCCTTGGCTGAGGGCTTGCAAATGCATCTCTTCCAGAAAAGCTAAAAAGTCCTCTGTTTCTTCAGAGGCTTCGTGACCTTTCCAAAGTGAGACAACAATGATGTTGTCCAAATGAACTGCAACTGCTTGGCCTGCTCGCGCAGAGAAGGAGGACAAATGCCGCGCTCTCAGAGTTGATTTGATGACCATAGCCACTCCACCACGATATTGACAACCCGATTGCTTGGGCTCGGTGGTCCACAGCCTGTAACCCGCCAAACCGAGTTTGTGAGCCATAGTTTGACCTGTTCCCGGATCCAGAAAGGTTTCTTGAAGGCACACAACGTCGGCCATAACCTTTTGATCACAAAGCATGTTTGCTATGCTCCACGTGTTATCTCTTGAGCCACAATTGAGGGACAAGGCATTAAAGTGACCGGGTCCTGGATTAGGTTCTATTCCTTCAGCGCACAAGTCTCTGCGCCAGGTTTGATTGACTGAATGATCTGAAGGCTCCTTAGTGGCGGCTTTAGAACCGGAAGCTGGATTCGGCTGGTACCAAGCCCTGGCATCCTCCAAAGGGACGCTCCAAGCTGTGGCCAAAGCAGTTTTCTGGACCTGACTCAAACGTTTCCACAAGGCGCATTGAGCCGATAGTGGGCGTTCTCTGGGTCCAGGGCACTTAGTTGTGAAATGTCCTGAGCGTCTAACACCCCTGCACCGAGTGCAAGTGAAAAAGGAAGAAAATGCAACTGGTCTCTCAGACCTGACACTGGGCCATGCAAGAGCGTCAACTTCCAACTGAACAAGCTGGTGACCTCCAATAGACATATCACGTGTCGCGGCAGCCCGTTCACCACATGTTGGTGGGTAAGGTTCAGCATCTCAGTGATGCGTAGCAGGCAGTTGAAGCCAAGTGCAATGACGATGGCGAACAAGGGCTCCTGGTGGAAGAAGGCCAAGCCCATAAATGCCTGCACCAGGTGCCATGAACAGCCCTCTCGGGAGGGTAACAGCGCTGCCAATTCCTGAAATATTGACTGCTACGCGGCAGCTCCAAACGTAGCTCAGGGTGAAACCTTTTCACTGCTGAGCTGCACTACCACCATAAGGCGACGCGTCCGTGACCGAGATCTCCATGTCCAGCTCGGCTCGCAGATTGGTGGACATCATGGGGACCATGAACAAACCATCATCATCTCATCCATGACCGAAGCCAAAGGTCTGGAAGCATCACGCCGGCTTGCCCGCTCTTGGATCTCATCAAAGGTGGATTGAAACAAGGAGAAAAGCGGCCTCCGAAAGCACATCCCAAACGTTGCCTTGCCCACGAAGTGCCTTAACATCCACTCTGTCCAATCGCTCATAGCCAGCAGAGCGCCCCCCAAACCAAGGATGCCACACATCTTCTCAGGGGCCACACCGTATCGACCAACATCACCGTCTAACTCACCTCCCTGCAAGGGGCCACGGGTGGCAGCCACAAGCCTCTTGGCCTCGTTCAACGGGAGCCCCTTGTCACGGCAAACCTTCAGGAAGCGGGCATGCCTCTCAGATGGCTCCCCCTCCAGGGTCTCATGACATCCACTGCTCAACCGGCGCAGCTGGTCAAAGGAGTCCAGGTAGATGACCGTATCTCGGAAGCCTCCGGCACCCCCGACTCCCTGAACACCAGGGTCCTCACGATGGTTTGGATCACTGCCACAGACGAGATCCATCCCATCGTAACACGCACATGGCTGCATAAACTTGTTTGCCTGGAGGCCCTCCAAAGGCTTCCGCGCTGACCAACTTGTTGAAGCACATGAACTTCAGCCAGCCAATGGGCAATCTGAAGAGGTTGAAGCACGACGTGAAATCCTCCGCATCCAAAGCCCAAACTCGCCCTCCTTTTTCTCGATCTCCCTTGGCCTCGCCTTTTTCGGGGCCTCTCCATTGGCTGTACCCCTTCAACTTGAGGTTGTTCAGAAACTCCCGGGAGGTGAAGAACTCCTCGTCCCGCTCCAGGAGTCCTGCTCCTTCTGGATTGAGGAGCTCCAAGCATTGGGCTGAGCCCCAATGAGCGTCCACTGTGGACTTCTCCAACGCCTTCACGCACTGGGTGATCAGGTCTGCCGCTTGAGCTGGCTTTTGACGCAGAGTGTGCGCAGCTTGCGCTGGGTCCTCAGATTGAGGGAGGTCCCCAACCTGGGCATCATCATGGTGATGAAGTAGTGATGGGCGGCCTGCGGCGTTCAGCCCTACTTTCTTTGGGTCCAAACTTTGGGTCCGCCCCCACAGACCCCTGAGCGCCCTCCCTGTGCATCTTCAGCAGAAGCCGCGATGCCAGGCACCAGGCCTCTTCTTCGCGTACTGAACCAGACGCATCTGGTTCACGGCCTTTGGATCTGCAGCGGCGTCCCGGAAAGACTCCGATCCCGAGTCAGAGTCCTCCTTGAAGTCAACGGCTTCTCCACCACCAAACGGCCCTCGATCACGGTGACCTTTCTTGCCGCCAGCTTCACAACCACTTCCATCTCCACCAAACAAGACTCCCCTTGGGCTGGGCTGGACGACCTCCGTGAAGACGAAGCTGATGAACTCTGCCTCTTCTTTCGTCTCCTTGAGGATGAGCGCCGGCGACGACGACGCCCACGGGATCGTGATCTCTTGCAAGACCTCTTCTTTTCTTCACCGCCTTTTGCGGGTGACTTCTTCCTCTTACGATCTGCTGATTTTCGCGTCCCTTTCTTGTCATCCTTCTTGGCTCCTTTTGCCATACGCTTCTCAAGCTTCTTGACTGCATCCCTTGCTTCTTGGAGCTTCTTTCTCAAATCAGACTTTCCACCTGAATCAGACTTCTCATCTTCTGATTCTTCCTGCTCACCCGGCTCGCGCCAGGGTAACTCTGGGGCAGCTCCACGAGGTTCTGCTTGAGCTCCACGGCCTTTTAGGAACACCGACATCACCTTGTTGCACTGGCGCCCAAACGCCCACGCGGGAACTTTCACATTGAGCTCCTCCTGGGTGATCTCCCTGAACTTCTCGAAGTGGATGCCTTTCCCCTTCTTGAGCTCACTGCAGTCTGCCGCACTTCCATCACAGCAGTGATACCTGCAGCCCTTTGCAAGCCGGGCACCATCTCCTGAGGTCATCCACCACCTGAGGTGGCTGTCTGAGGCCTGCACATAGCGATTTGAACCAATGCCCCTTGCTGTCCGTAGACTCGGCCTCGATGACCTCAACCAGCATCGTGCCCTGCTCCTTCCCGTCAAAGTCCCGCGCCCCCGCTCGATCAATTGGCCAGGCCGGAAGCGCAACTTGTACCATTTCTCGTGGTTTTCACCCCCAGATAACCACATTGCGTTATCTGGGGGGTGACGGTTGCTCCCTTTAAGGCAGTTCAACATATATTCGTTGCTACATTTCGCAAGGCTGCATTCCGACACTCATTGAAATATATATTGTAGGCTTTTCATGTATATATATATATATATATGAGCCCGGTCCCCGGACCCCCACACCCCCCCCCTCCCCCCCCAATGGTATCCCCCCCCACTCCTAACCCCCCCAACCCCCAAAACCATCCAAAACCTAGTATTTGCATGTTATTTGCACATATACATACACATATACACATATATACTCCCCTTTCCACCCCTCCAACCTCGCATCTCTACGTTATTTGCAGCACTTGAGAGCTACGACCTCGTCAACGGACCTTGTCTACCCGTATATTTCTATCATAACCTTTTTTTCGAACCGCCTATAGCGTGCCTCGCACATGGTTTACAACATATTTGCTACCTATGGATTACGCAAAGCTTACCTATGCAAACCTAGACATATGTACAGTAGAAAAACAATAAATATATATATATATATGCACATTCTAGATACTACATATTGATATCTTGATCTTGTATCTATCACATATTTCGTTTACATTGTACATACTGTACACGTATATATATATGCATATATATATATATATATGCATATATATATATATACATAAACTCTAGATATACAGCGTGTATTGCTGTCGATATTCAATATACCACATATACAGGCTTGGCTGCTGAGAAAACCCCCCCTCCCCTGCCACAGGGGGGGGGAACCATCTGGCTGGGGGGGGAGGGGTGTGGGGGTCCCTGCTCATATATATAGTCGTATTCGCGATGGATATATGACTATATTAATAGCTATTTGTAACATGATGTCACTGCATCATCCAAGAATCTCGGCCTTGGACTTGGCCGCGGCGTTGCGATCCGCAAAGGCCACCGTGTACCTGCGAGTTTCGCCAATTTGGCGATGGATTTCACGGTAAAGGTCCTGGGAAATGTGCAAAAAGTGGTGAGATTTCCCTGCCCAAAATTGGAAAAATGTTGGAATTTGACCCAAAATCTGGGATTTCACTGATTTAACCATCCAACAAATTGATTTTATTGTATGCTGGGGATGGCAAATTGAACCATCAAAAAGATTGGAAAACGCTGGATTTAACCCTCCCCATAAAGATTGGGAATTTGGCATTTATCATGTATCTCAAAAATTGGAAAATTTGGAGATGTATCGCATCCAAAAAATGCGGAGATTGATGACAGTGGTCATTCTATGAGATAAAATGACAGTTTACCATGGTGAAATCTATAAGAATGTTTAAAACATGCTCCAAACATAGTTAAAATATGCTAAAATGTGCATTTTGTCGGGAAAAAAAATGTTGGCATCAAACCCTACTACTTCGCCACCCCCTTCTGAACTTCACGTTGACAGTCTAATGATATATGTTTGACAGTCAGACTCTGATGGCATGGACGCAGAAAAACAAAAGCATCTCCCCACACTGCAATTAGAGCGCGGGCAAACAGTTTGCAGCGAACATGTCTAAATTAGCCCAGCTTCACAACCCCAACAGCAGAAGGGTTCCAGGGTTTCAGGGTTCCGTTCGAGTTGTCGGGTTTGGCAATCAACACTGATGTTGGGAAAAGAGATGGAATGGGGTACCCTGGTTTCAGACAAACCCATTTAAGAACCGAGGACCAGTTGGTCGTTTCAACCCAGAAAATATGAGGTCATTGATCGTCATCCGAAAAAACATGGGCTTCAGAGTAAAAATATCTGGCATTGAAACCACCAGGAGGAGCCCGAGGAATTGGGTGGGTCCTCTTACATGTGCGAAAGACATGTGGTGTTGTAATTGAAGGTTGTAGCTCATTCAACTCAGAGTACAGATCATGTGTATATATAATATATTCAATATATTCAGATGACATGGGACCGGAAATCTGAGTCATCAAACGCCCCTAAACTGGGTGTCTCTAAAATGTCGCGGCTCCCATCAGTGCTATTGCCATGCTGAAGCAAACTGGAAGCTGTATCAACCACATCATTTGAAGACAGGCGCGGGTTCGAGTTTCTGAAAAGTCTTCGGTTGTTTTCTGGTTGGTGGTTTTTCGCCTACCCCTCTGAAAAATCATGGAATGAAAGTCAGTTGGGATGATTATTCCATTCCCAATATGATGGGAAAGTCATAATCCAAATGTTCCAGTCACCACCGACCAGTTTTGGGTGTTTTTGGTGATTTGGTGATGGGAGAATTTCATCCCGCCTCCGGCCACCCTGTGGGATGACAGTGAACCTTGGCGCGTTGACCCGTTGACCGCTTCGTTTGCTTGGCAAGATTTGGGGCTTCAGGCTACAAATATATTAAACTCATATGACTCATATGACATGATTCGTTAATGATATTTTTCATGCTTGAGTTCAAGGGGGTATCAAGGGTATCAACTCATCTGTACCAGCCTATGTACTATGATATGTCATGGTTGGGTTGAAGGAGGTACAAACTAAACCTATTTTGATCTGACTGGCAGAGATCGCCCCCGAGCCGCCGGACTTGTCAGGATGCTGTTCCAAAAACTCCCGCAGCTGGCCCAACCTCAGTTTTTTAGGTTGATCACGGTTGATCCTGGAGCTTAAAAAAAGAAACATGAAAGCTTCGCTTTCAGAGAAAAGGGATGAAAAAGTTGGCTGTTTTCTTTTCATCCAGCAGATTGTCAGTGACCGGTGGCGATGTAGCTTATCAATGGATGAACTAACACTAATTAAGATTAATTAACTTACAACCTTTGGTTATTAACTAATGGTTATTCACCACTAATGGTTATTAATTAACTAACACTAACAATGGTTATTAAGATTAATCAACTATGTTTATTCACCACATCCTTTTTGGATCCTCCAAGTGGTCTCCCATCGCTTTTCATAGCACCGCTGGGCTTTGGGCTTCGATTGGTAGCGTCCGGGCCAATTTGTGATCCAGACGCGACCATGGTTGCTGAGCACGGGCGCACAGTGACGGAAAGATACGGCAAGTTGAATGGGGAAAAAAAGTCAGGGAATATTCTGATTCACACTGTATTTAGATCATTGAGGGGTATTTTAGAGCTACTGTACCACATTTTAAAACAAACCCATTTCAAAGTTGTGAAACTAGCTCTGCCATAAAGATTGTCGCTTGAATCATCGAAATATTCAATGAAATCCTCACGGATTGTGTTGGTAGGTCGTCCCCATGATCGCAGCCTTTCGTCCAGCAGCTGGTCGACGACCTGCCAAATTTTGGGATCACCAAAAAACATGGTTTCATTCCCGGCGTTGGAAAAGCACCTGAAAGATCCTGAAAGTTGGTGGTGTCAGTTTATGCAAGGGATCAGTTTAGAAACTGACATAGAAAATGTAGAAGACTTGGTCGTCAATCAGGCGCTTCTTTTTCTGCGGCGCTGGTGCTTCTTTGCCAGCGAATGAAAGAGTCAAACGCCACAGCTCGTTTTGGGTGGAAACACAAAAATACCACAGCTTTTCAATGACACGAAGCAAAGGCATCAAAAGCCAAGCACCCTAAGGGACACCCAAATAGCTGGCAAATGGATGTTCATCCTTCCAAATATGCGAAAATATCACCCCATTTGATCCATCCCAAATATCAAATGTACCGCAGTTTAGTGGCTGCCAATCCAACAACCTTCTAGGTCTTCAGTGTTTCCGGCCATGTTGCTGTATACATCTGCCATCATCTGCCATGAAACATCTCTTCCATCTCGTAATACCCACGCCTAGTCAGGCCTAGTCAATTGGCTTCAATGCTATTTGAAGGGGTTGCTCACCTTTATCCTACCCACTCAAAATGTATCAGCCCAGATTCCCAGTGTCCCATTTTAAATGTTAAAAAGTTCACTCTTATACTCTATACAGCCCTATGGTTCCCCCAAAGCGGCTGAATTGGCAAGGCCGGCTCTGTTGACCTTCTATTTTCATTGCACCTTCCCAGAAACGAGGGAAGGTCGGCTCCGCGGCCTTTAGGAGGTCATCAAGACCTCACGAAAATTAAAAAGACAGCAGCCTCTCAGAGCCTTGTGCCCTTCAAATACAGCCGCTTTCCCATCTGGATTGGTTCAACAAGATGTGGCCTCTCGATCCTAGATCTATGTCCTATGTCTGTTGCGGGGAAGCGCTGGGCTTGGGGTATCCTCTCTTGGACAGCCACTGTGTCAACATTGAACCATCGTTGTCTCGCCTTCCTTGGAGGTTCACTCCTCCAGAATTCACGTGTTGAACCTTGCCAGATCCGGTTGCAATCCTAGGCAAATCTATCTGTCGAAATGTTTCCAGCCGGTCCGGCGGGCTCTGAATGGCTCATGCCGAACAAGTTTGCTCTCGACGCTTTTGGAATGGGTTTTGTCCAAAGAAAAGGCTACACACAAATATATAATGTTGTTTTATATCCCCCATGTCAGTGGCTAGGCCGCTGGGTCAAGTACTTGGGGATGCTTCGTAGTGTAATCCCGCACCCCTAAGACTTTATGATCAAATTTTCAAATATCTTAAGTATGCCGCTAGATCCAATAGGACGTAGTGACAGTTGCAGAAAGGGATTACTACAGTATAAAGGGAGGGAAGCTTCCCTTCCCATACCAGTCCCATCCGTCTCTAGGGCCTGAACGCCGGACCACGTTTCAGAGATAGCCGTCGCAGGGCACCCCATGGCACCCCCAAAAAATGCGCACGGCTTCCCAGTCTTTGTACAGCGAAGCAAAGGTTCAACATGCTGCTGGTCCATTGGACCCATCAGTTTCTTAGAAACTACTGCATACCCTCCAGGCCCTCCAGGAATCAAACATCCCCGAAAAATGGAGGTTCTAATGGGAAATCACCCAATTGATGGAAGATGTTCATAGATTTTCCATGTTTGATGACACCGGAGGCATGGCTGGCATGGCTCAAAGCACCATGGCTCAAAATCTGCGGCACCCGATCGCTCACATGGAGACCATCAAGGCGCCGGTCACAGCTCGACCTGGCATCTTTCAACGGCATGGGTCGGCACGTCGGTCTCAGTCGAAACTGCAAGAAATTCCCGGGGAAAACCGAAAAAAACCCATCTTCGCAAAATCAGCCCTGCCCACACCCAGAAACTGCCAGAAACTAAAGAAAATCTCCGCCTCACAGGGATTCATGTGGGCTGACAGGTGGCTCAACCGCCTTCCTTGGTGTGGTTTCTAAGCAACCGGATGACACGATCTTGATCGGTCACGGAATCATCCAAACGCTGAAACTACAGCCCTGAGTCATTCTTTGGGCCCAACTGCAGATGGAAAGATTGGAAAAGTGTTTCCAAGATGGTGCCAATGATGTTTTGGGGGGTACTCTGCATCAGTCTCTCTCCTGCTAAGTTGTCAGATACCGATGTCCATCCTCTAGCAAACATGCTGCAAGTTGCCATCGAGCAGAAATGTATCTATCGCAGCAAAAAATCCCCTGTGGCCCTTCCCTGCCTCGCAATCATAGTTGTGTGATGCTGTGATACAATCCCATGTCTGTTGCTTCATATCTGTTGCTGAAAAAATGTCAGTTTGCTGAAAAATTAACGCTGGTAGAATCCGCAAGTTTGCATCGTTTTTTTTGGCAACATACCCTCCTCCAAGAGCACTGCCAGGTATTTGGGGGGTGAACATCCATGTCCATGAATCATAAATCCCGATTTACCATCCACTTACCAGCCATCTTGATGTAAATGTATATCCGCAAGCATGGTTTTACCAGCAACCCGCAGTTGTAACCCCAGTTGTGGAAAACGAATGGTACAACTGCTGTAGGTGTGGCTCCATCATTCTTTAAAAATAGGATGCCCTTTTCAATCCATGGATGAATCATCATTATCCCCATGCAACTGGCGTATTTTTTTGGGGGAACACGGGAACACCCCCTATGTTTAGAGCCCAAACTCAAACTCGTTCTCTTTCAAGTAACTCATCTGCAGTGCTCTGCTCCATTCCCATTTCTGAATGGGCTCGAGGTGTATCGCAGAGGTTGCTGACGCAACCATCTACCTGCCCGTGTCCAAGCCTATGGTTGATCATCATGTCGTTCAATTATCAATGGATTGGGTGAAGGGAAAAACCATATTTTTTTCCCAAAAAAAAACAATCCATTGAAATTAAGATCTATGATATCCTCAGAACTATGGAAGTTCCACAGTATTGGAATCAGTGGATGCGTGGATGTCAAAGTTCGTGGAGATTTGCTGTATACGAAGAAGAGGGCATTCACAACGGGTTGCCAGTCAAAATGGGATGTGACCTGCACCGAGAAGATTGAGTAGCAATAGCTAGTTGAAAAGAGCATTTGTAGCTGCTGCAACATTTATATCTATCGTCATATGCATATATATATATATATATACATATACAGACATTGGGAAACAGGTGACATTCAAATTCATGCCTGTCCCCACACACACATCAAGCATGATTCATGGTGGATCTTCAACAGGGTCCCTGCGCTTTGCCGAACGCAAATCCCGCGCCACCCGAATCTCGGCCTCTGACAAGACCTCCAACATCTCTCCCATCCTCAGACCAAGATGGATTTGGGCTGGGAATCCCTGGAATCCCTGGAATCTTGGTGGCACGGGTGCCATTTGGACCAGTGTCTTTGTGATTCACATCCCTGGACCACAGCAATGAGGAGATCATCCAGGAAGGAAAAAATGAGTATCATTAACCTAGAAGAATTGTGGTTTAATTATGGTCCTTTACCTACTCAACTAACTACCGGAAAAAAAAGTATCAGTCAAAAACCCTGTTACCATGGTTTTCACACCAGAATAGCTGGTACATACATAGATCCTTCATGATCGCTTTCATGTTGAAAATCGCAGCGACTCATCTCCACATTATGGGACCTGGTTTTCCTCCCCGTAAATCATCCAGATATGTTTGTTGGTTTAATGTCCATTCTTGATTTGCTCCCAACTTGTGTTGCTTAAATCATCTTAAATCCCCATTTTTGCCTTGGGCACGTCCCCTACTTTTCTTGCTTTCATCACTTTGATCCCATATGTTTCTGGAGTTTACTTCCCATCCTGCTACTTTCATCCCCGTACGGATTAGCGAACTAGTTAGTAAGTGGGTATAAGTGGGTTATTAACCCACTATATCACATTATATCATACTATATCCCAATAAGTTGGTTTCGGAAGTGAAACCCATAGCCGCCAGGCATCTCTTCGTCGATCTCTTGCAGGTTCTCAGAACTTTGTCCCGCGAGCCTGGCATCCCAGAAACGCACGTTGAACTGGGCCAAGTTCATCGATTTTAAGGGGATAATCATGGGATATAAGGGGATAATCATGGGATATAAGGGGATAATCATGAGATAATTATACTGGAGAATAGTGGGAGAATCATACGATTGAATGGAATTTAAGTTTCCACATCTATCTTAGTTTACCCCAAGGTTTTGCATTCAAAAAAAAACGAAAAAAACCACTGGCGACGCACCAGATCCAGCCTGGAACCCGTCCGCACTATGGCCAACTGTACCTATGGCGTCATGTTTCATGACACAAAAAAAGGGTAGATCCATTAACCATCACTATGAATCACCATGTCGCCATGTCGGGATTTCATGGATTTCACCCTTTCAAAATTTTAGAAGGTACCAATGTTCCAACATAGTCCAACATACCAACATGAATCTGGGGATATCATGGGCACACCGGGATAACACTCTGATATTCAACCATCAAACATACGTAGTTTCACCATTGTCTAAGTGGATTGATATTAGATATATTAGAGGACTTAACAAGTCGTATTCCGGATATTCAGCAACAAGAAATCGGAAAATACCGGGAAACCTCTCAATGGGGGTTGTGCAAAAATGGTAGATACCCAAATTGATGTTCCCTTTTGATTGAGAAAATCAGGTTTGAAACCGTGAGATTTTGGCTTTCCAGGTCCAGGTCTATGCCTCGTGATGATGTATTGACCTTTGCTGATTCGAGGGGGGTTTCCCATGAAGCCTAGTGTACCTGACGTTTTTACCACCATGGAAACACTAGGTTTACGAAGATGGGAAAACTATACCTAAAAACTAGAAACCATCATTTCCACATCTTCCAATTTTCTCTGATGACTCAGTCACTGGTAAAAACTGGACTTCTTTGGCGGGTTTCCCGTGGCTGTTTGTCTTCACCGTTTGTCGAAGAACCCCACCAGACTCGGTACCTCTTTGATCTTCTCGTTCAAGCGTTCCTGTTCAAAGCGCTTGATGGTTTCCTTCAGCAAAGACCTGCCACTGAAAAACAAGGTCGTGATGAGTTGAGTTTGAAATTGAGGGGAATATGTCGATTTGTTCAAAGGCACAGAACTGGCAGATACCACAAGCATCACCCTGCAAGGAAAACCAATACTTCAACTGAATCATTGTCACTGGGATCAGCCACTGAATGCTTCCCTGAAGCATTGTGCAACAGATGTGTCAAACGTTTGAAACCCTCATTTCACGTCAAAGGAGCTGTAATAGCTGGACGTTCATCCCCCATTCATAGGGAAATTAGAAAAACATAGGCTGTTAGGCTCTTACCATCCGCATGTCCAAATCATCCAATACCCTAAAGTTGCCAACGAGAAAGCTGGTGATCAATCTGTGTATTAGGCGCGCCTCAACAAGGTGTAGACCAGACCCAAGCTCAGTGTGAAGCTGGCCGGGATGAGCAAAGCGTATTGCCCCAGCTCATGTTCGCAGTAGGCACCTGATCCAAACGTTATGAGTTACCCAGGTCAGAATCTGGAAATATTGAAAATAAGTTTGCTTTTTGGTGTTTTGTCACTTTGTTATTTTTATGTTATCATGTTCGTGTCATGTGGCTGCGTCATTTCTATTATGTGTCAGTTGGATTTGACATGTTTCTGTGTGAGATCTTCAGGCTCTGCCGCAAATGCCAGGCTCCAAAAAAGGGGAAATGACGAAAAGATGACCAAATAAATAACAGAAAATGCCAAGAAATCACCAAACATCGAGAAAATGTACATGTACGATGTTGGACTTGTTCGGACACTCTCCCATTCTTGCGGAAATTACAAAGAAACAACAACCCAAATAACAAAAAAAACGACAACGCAAATGACAGAAAACGGACAGCCCAGACGCTAAATAAATGACCATATGACACGTTGCAGCGACAAAAAAATGTTAAAAAAAATGACAATAAATAATTATATAGTTGCTTTCTTTCAGAACCTGCTGGTAAGTAAATCAGAAGGCCAAAGCGGGCGATGAGAAGCCTGTTGCGGGGACCCGGTGTTGTCATCCATGATCCATCATTCATCAGTTTAAATTCATATTCATCATCATCATCATCATCACCATCATCACCCGCCAGCCATCTTTCGTTTCTATCTCCCCGTCCGGTCCCAAGCCAGGTCGGTCCCCGTTTTGGGCGTCCGCACCCAGGGTACTGCCCAGGACAAAGGCGATCCACATGGGCAGCAGCACCAAGAGCTTCTTCAGATCAACGCCCACCTCGGCCTGACGGTGACGTGACGGCGACATCGGCAGACCTGTGGAAAGTCACGGCAGATTGGTTTAGTTGGGAAAATCTTCACCGGAAACCATGGCTTTCCCCATCAAATATAGCGGTTTCCTGCATTTTTGTCCTTCCAATCCTGCAGGGAAAAACATAAATAAAACATGACTAAAATGAAATGAACCAACAAGCATACTTTACAAGTATGGGGGTTTGAGGCGACAAAAAATGGGAAGCAAAAATGGAGCAACACGGATCAGGGTTTCTTAAGTGGAAGTTCCAAACACAAGGCCAAAAACTAGCAGCACAAAAAAAAAGTGTCCTTGAAGGCAAGAAACACTTGACCTTGCTTTCAACCCCCCCACCAAAACCAAACAAGAAGCAACTGGAATAGGATTGTCTATTTATAAGCCTCGAGTAATTGAATATAGCATAATATAGCTATGTCAGCTATGGAAACTCATGAAAATCGCCATGGACGTGTGGTAAATCATCGAACTGGGCCACTGGGCCTTGTCCAGGATGTTCATGCGAGACCTTCGGCAACCTCGTCGCTGGGCGAACTGGGATCTTCGGCACCCAGAAAGCATGGGAAGATCAGGTGCCACGGTGCCACCCCGCTGGTGTTTTATCGGATCCGGATGGCAGATTTATCATGATTTATCTGCAATGGAAAGATATGGAAAGCGAAATCACTTGGCGATAGTGAGCTGATGCAGGACAAAACTGCAGGAGACTTTGCGTTTGTACTGTGACATAGGTGTGGGGGGTCGTGTACACTTTCCTTGAAACCAATTCAGGGATAAAGGGTATGATATGAGCATTGAAGATTGAGAAACACAACCGATAAAGAGGATACGCAACCATTAAACATGAGATTGCAATCAATGCGGATTAGGCATACAAACACTTGTGATAGCTCATGTGAAGTGTCAAGCTGTGGAACTGAGCAAAGCAATGTCAACATATCGAATGAATTACCGTAAAACAAATGATTAATCCTAACCCGCAAATATCAAATTCCCCCGCGCCCTCCTGGCTGCTAAATCGGGAAGGAAATCATTCCTGGCTGCTAAGAAAAAATCCTGGATTGGATGTATACCCTCTGGTTCTTTAACATAGCTAGGGAAAATTCCAATTTAGTATAGTTGTGGCGGTAAATTAGTAGATCATCATAAATCATCGAACTAAGTGGGCAATCTATACCGTAGCTACGTACCAAATAGCCAGGTGGTAAAGTGTTCATCGTATATGGCTAATGATATTCCCATATTATATTCCAATTTTATCCCATAATAGATGGTCAACCAATCCAAATATCTATTGTCAGGTAACTATAAGTTCTCATAAATTCTCATATTAACCAAACATGTGAACGCATATATATTATATGGCTAATATAATGCAAAAGGAGTGGGTTTATAATTCCCATTAAGTATAGTTAAGTATACTTATCTCCCCCATAAACCATACTTAACCAAGCTAGATTGTTATAGTTATAATATATTACCAATAGGTAACTCATGGCCCAACCTGCCCCGCCTCTGCGCAAGTGCATCATGGCCAAGCGCCCCAGTGTGGAACCAATGTCCGTGAGAGTTCCCGTCACATGCGTGGTCCGAACCTTGTGGTGAAGGTTGGAGGGGGTTCTGCAAAGGGAGGTACCCCAAAAACCTCCACAAATGATGCTCTTTTTCACACTAAAACCGACGGCTGATTAATGTTTAAAAGGCCATTTTTGTACTAAAATTATCTAAAACTATATAACTAGATCGTTTCTGGTATTGAAACTCATGGGTTTTGGGCTCCTCCATTTTAAGAAAGACCCAAGTGACCACCAAATCTTAAGGCCTGCCTACTGAACACCAACAAATCAACTCCAAGCAGACCTGCGAAAAATGCCAGGGCCCCACACCACTGCTCCGAAGTGGGAGGTGCACATCGCATTCCTCGAAGGCTGTCAACTTGAATTTTCATTGCGGCCCTGTTCTATAGTCACCTCGTTTCCAAGTCCCAAATCTTTTGAATAGACTGAGAACTTGAGAACTTCATGTAAATGTAGAAGTACCCTTAAGATCCATTAAGGCCGTAGCGACCTTAAGGCCCATGACAACCTTCACCACCAAGGAACTGCAAGCCGCAGGCGCCCGCGGACAAGCAGCCACTCAAGGTCGGCTTAGACACCAGCACGGCGATGCCCAGCAGCAAGGCATTTCCGAGCAAGGCGACCCCATACAGAGATTTGCCTCCAAAGTGCACCTGGCGTATCCCAAGTTATGGCCAGTACATAGGGAAAAATCATGACAAACCCAGGATCTCTCAGAAATCGAGCTACGGGTTGATTCGTGATTTCAGGGAACATCTTAAGGGGCAACCGTGGTTTCTACCTTCGAATATTGGATGTCCCTGCAAATTGTCTCACCATCCACTTCAGCGAATCAAGCAGACGCAGAATGTTAAACAGGAGCGTTGGGTGCCCTTCCCACCTGGTTCTTGTCAATGAGCCTGGGTGAGAGATGGTGAGAGGGGATACAACCACTCAAAATCTGGATATCTCTGACTCACCAACTCTCCATAACTCTCCTCTCTTAAAACCATCGATTTCCGATCTTAAAATATCTTAATTGTTTTCAGGCCAACCTGGGATACCAGATTCTTTAGAGAACAGTGGAAAAGCCCTCATAAATTGCGTTGGTATGGTTCGTAGCCTGGCGCAGTCACGTCGAGTCAAGGTGCAAGCCACAGGTAAACGAGCCCAACACGAATGAGAGCACCAGGAAAAGGGCCTTGGTGCGATCCATTCAGAAATAGTGACCCTTTGGGAATATGACTCATGACTGACCAATCGATTCCCAAAATAGTGAATGAACCCACAATAAAAAAAGACATGTACATGGCCACATACATTTACATCAGCAAATCCAGGTGGATCTGACGGAAATTTTCAGGCGGATTTTCCCAACCATAAACCTCCATGTTTAATGTTCAGGGATTTCCGATTCCCACGTAAAAAATTAGCAGAGGGTAAGCTTAGCAGCTAAGGGATGATGCCCCTTCCTATCCTTCCAAGCCATCATTCATATTCATTGATACAGGAATATGGATGAATATGAGAGATTTGGTCACTGTGATTTCGCATAAATTTCTTGGCCCACAAATGGGGATTTATCTAATTCTGGAAATCCACACGAGACCGTGGTGTCCATCATCAAGGATAATGGGGGGCCCTGTATTCTTTCCCTTTCCATCCAGTAGTCAAACATAGCAATTGAAATCCACCATAAATGGAGGTCTTCAATGGTTCTACTATCGTTTGATTACCAAAAGCTACTGTAAATCAATCTTGAGACTTTGGCGGTATTCCAGTTGTTGCTCTGATGGTTGGGGAGCATCCCTCCATTGGAAGAAAAAGGCCGCCTCCAATGGAGTCCCCCAATCTCTCTCCCTCAACTGAGGTGCAGAACATCACAAAAATACTCCAAAGTCCAAACAAAAAAATGCAAAGAATCACCGAAGACCCACGCAAACTGGCAGGCCAGTTTGCCATACCACAGAAAAACTCAGGGAAAAACCGGTCACATTTAAGCGCTGGACATGGTGCGCACTTATTTGGCGATTTTGGTGCCTTCCCCGGCCATGGGATGCCATGCCTGGATGAGGATGTCATCCTCATGCTTGTCGTGATGAAAGCCCTCCAGGCGTAAGCCGATGGCGGTGGAGGTGCCGGTCATGTGAGAGACATACCTGCGGGAAAGATGGAGAAAGCCACAATGGTGTCACCATTATTCGGCCTTGGGCTAAAAATAGGGAGATAATATCTTAGGGGAAAGCTATTTGAAGCTATGGGTCTTGCCATGACCATCAAATATGGAGGCATCGCAGCTTTACCCTGAGAAAATGGGGCCTTGTCTGGGCAGTTTCATAGTTTCATACGTCCTTTTCAAGGGGAATGCCGCAATCCGCTTGTGGAAGAGGACTTACTCACCAGGGTTATATAGGTACCTCAAAATCCATTGGTTTGTCATCATCTTCGATTCTATCTAAACCACGATTTGGGTGGGTCGGATCAACAAAGTAGAGTTGTGGCAGTCCAATGATGATTTTTTGACCATTGGATGAAATAGGGCCAGACCCCCATGTTTTGGACAGCCGCAAATTGGGAATGGTTACAATCATTTTTTTAACTACCAAAATTTGGGTCCCAAGTGCCTACCGAACCACCAGCCCCATTCCCTCGTCAAGACACACGCCCCAGATGCGAAAGGACACAGTGTTCACCATCCCTGCACAGAAGGCCAAGAACCAGCCGAAGGCTAAGACCCAAAACTTGGGGCGCGTGAAGCTCTTCTGGGTCTCCAGTGCCTGGAAGCAACGGAAATGAAAATCGAAGATAGCGGCGCAAATCCCTATGTTCATATAGTAGGAGACATGTGGGAATAAACCATGAAATTCATTTGGGAAATGAAGGATGGCTCATTTCCAGGTACAGTAAGATTTGCGACTTTTGGAGCTGTTCCGAAGATATTATCCAAAAGATTGTAAGATTGTATAACTAAAACCTTCCAACAAGCGACCATCTTGTCAAATAGGTGGAACCAACCTCACCAAACGCGACAAGGTGTGCATCTTTCACTGCAGCCTTGACGGGAACCTCGACAGTTTAAACCGCAAAGGCCCACGAGACTGGAAGGTCTGTCAAAAACTACTACCCTAACACTGAGCAATTTTATCTCAATAGTTGTTGGATAGCTAGCATGTTTATCCCCCATTTCTGTTGATTTTTCCACTCAGTAGTTGCCAACGCCGTTCTGTGGGGACGGTGGGTGGGGGCCCCGGGGGCCAGCCTTCATTCGCAGGGCGGAGGTACCACTGAGCTGCGAACAACTCCTAGCGCTGGGATGCGCTGGGCCCCAGGGAGAGATGAATTGGATTTGATGGGATATATTCATTGGATTGGTTTAAGGGAAAATCTACAGGAAACCATGTTTTTTACCATCAAATATAGGGCTTTCCTGTAAATTTTCCCATCATCCAATTCTATGATATATACAATGAAGAATCTGATATTTCCAGGAAAACCCCACCTAATGTGAAAAATCCAATGCCATAAAGCTACCAAGTGGGGATTTCGAAGATGTTTTATTATTGGGTTTACATATGAGTCAAGTTCCCAAAGGTAAATAGGGAAGTGCACAGCAAACCAGGCGCTTAAAAAAAAAACCTGGCCTGGACCTTTGGCAACGAAAGAAACAGTTTGCGCGCGTGCACCTGTTTTGACTGCTGGTGTGTGTATTGGGTTTACCACATTATTATTCGTAAACAAATGTCTCTAGGTATTTCTGACTGTAAATATTACACAATGTCTAACCTATGTTCTGACACGTATATTGTCAACAATATAGGAGCATACGATAGGGACCAAGGAAACCTCTGCATCGCTCCTTCGTCCGAAGGCCTTGACGGGCCATTGGATTGTGGGTGACCCCCCAATTGACAAAACCATCTGGCTGTCGGTATGTGGAATGGATCTCTGAAATTCTCTGGATATTCTCTGGCTACTTCACATTGAAATTGGGGCAAACAAAACGTAAAAAAAAATGGTTTTCGGCTCCGGAGACAAAGGGAGTTTGGGTGTTTCACGCATTCTGCACATGGTGAAGTTGTGAAGAACTAGCCACGCATCCTAGCGCAGCCAAAAAGATATCCAGCAAAAAAACAATGGAAGACCTACTTGACTTCCAAATTTCTGAAGCATCCAAAACCTCGGCAAAAGCTGAACCAAAGTCGCTGCAGTTTATACCGATTTGAGACCACCTTTTTCCCATTGTCTCCAGCACCACCAGGAGCTCGACCCGCCAAGTTGCCTTGCGACCTTCTGCGACATCGGTGGCAGAAGATTTGTGCTTCGGTGAGGAAGTCCTGAGAGGCTTGAGCCCCAAAAAGCTGGAAAGAAACGACCACAAATCAGGATAGACCCCTTAAAAAATTGGAATTGAACGTTCTAAAGTTGAGATTTGTCATTACTTGTATACATGATATATAATCCCGTCCTCCGGCCACCAGGCCGGGCACCCCAACCCACCCACAGGGGTGGGGGGGGCGGGGATCACCACTACTTCTGTACCTCTATATGTACACACTCTGTATATATATATATACTCTATGTATACTCTATAAATACTTTATATCTATATATATATGCTAGCCCCCTGGTACCTACCTTTTAATTAAAACTTGCATAAATGAGTCTTAATTCATCTACAAGGCCTATTTCAGTTAGAAAAGTAAGGAAGCTCCGTGGTGTTTTCAACAGGTTTTGGATATGTTCAATAGATTGGTTACCCTTGATGCAGTTCCATCTGTATATTCAAGCAAAAGTCCATCACACAGCCTGATGCTAATATCTTGTTTGTAGCCAGGTGGTCTAACACAAATGTAATGGTGCAATCTGTCACAGTTGAAATTATCTTTTAATTGACTGTGGAATAGCATTTGATGTTAAATGAACAAGACTTGTAGCTTGAGTCGCACAGCACAGCAATTGTCCAAAGAGGAATATGTAATCTATCCCATCTATTAAGACTTGAACCTGTGCTACATTTCTAGAAAGTAATGCTCTGAAGAGATGAGATTCTTCAAAGAAGTGCAGTTTTCTTGAAAATTTGCAGCATCCCTTAAACAATAAAAAATACGTTTTCACTTATACGAGCTAATTGCTTTGAGCTAGTGCAGAACTTTTTAGGGAAAATCTCCCTTTGAAGGTTGAACTCTTTTTGGAAAGACCCACGATTTCTCTACAATATGCATTGTATTTTAAGTACATTCTTCCTGTCTCCCTTTTTCATGATGGATATATGTTCTCAAACAGATGCGTTTTCCTTTAAAGAAAAATACTTCACTTAAAGCTGCAGCCATTTGTTTAAACAACAGAAACCATATTGTCGCAGAATATGAAGTGTATATTGCTGCAGAATATGAGATATGTCTATATACTAAAAAGGTAACAGGCCCTTCAAAGCGCAGCTCTTATCTATGTTTGAAGGCAACACCATTTCCTTAAAGGATAATAATGTCACACTCCTTTCAAAAAAATCCAGCTGTACTATGGAAAGTAGCACCATTTCTTGGAAAGGTCCTTTTGATTGAAAATGCATCCCATTCATTTGAAGTACATCCTTCACTTACCAAACAGAAAATTGTCTCAGCTGTCCTTTATGCTTGAAAGTAGCACCAATTCTCTGAAAAGAATGTTATATTCCTTTTAAAGAAGCCCAATTACAATCTATTTGGAAAGGAACACCATTGAATTGAAGGAAATGTTTCACTCACCAAAAAAAGAAAATTGCACATCCCAAAGGCCTTCACCCTTTAAATGGAAAATTGCACATCCCCAAAGAATACTGCGCATGTTTATCATACAAGCATTTTCTTAAGTAATGGTTTGTAAGGAATGCATTTGGTAAATACATGATGCCTTAGAAGCAAGATGATTCGGATTTGGTTCGGATTAATCTGGATTAATCTGGGTTAATTTAAAGGATCAAAACATCAAAAAAAATAAATAAAACACAGAGAAAAAAACAAAATACCTGCCTTTTCTGTACTTTTATTTTTTGATATGGGCAGTGACAATAAAGAAAGCGAAATTGAAATCTTGGATCCAGAAAAATTTTGCAAAGTTTGCAAAGTTTTTGGATTCAAGATTCAAGATTCTGAGAAAAAATTGTTGAATCCCAATCCGGGATTGAAGATTCAAAAAGTTGTGCTCAGAATCTTGACCTTGAATCCAAAAAAAATTGCAAACTTTGCAAAGTTTCTGGATCCAAAATTTGAAATTCAAGATTAAAATTTATCTTTATCAAATCACAATATTAACTTCACTGATCTTAGCATAATACTAGACCTATATATATATACATATATATATATACGGTTCCCCCTCTCGAAACTCGAAACTACTGCCATCTCCAACCATGTAAATCAGTCACAAACCCACGTAAATATCAATAAAAGTAACTTAAAGGGTAGGTACCGGGGGGGTACCATATGTATATACATATATATATATAGCTCATAGATGATCACCAACTCCCACCCCATCCCACAGGGGGGGCGGGGATGACTCTTACCCCAATACACCCTGGACCTGTAGACCCATACACATTTGGGGGGAGCGCAACCAGCTGTAATTTGGAATATATATATATAATTATATATATATAGCAACGAACAAAAAGGCAGAAAACTTATTTCCACGCTAGTAGACTTCAATTTTGAGCTTCTATTGTTCAGGTGCTCCTCCCAGTTCTAAGTTGATTTATAAACCCATCGACCTAATCACCGCACCGCTCATCCAAGTGTCCCCAACTGAGCGGCTGCGATCTAAACCCCAGTTAGTTGATGATGACTTGGGGGGTTATACGGTTATACTACCCTTCATATCTTGGGCTTTCCAGAAATGGGAGATCCCCAATAGCTGATGGTTTATTTCATGGAAAATCCGAAAAGAACATGGATGATTTGGCGGAAACCTTCATATATTGGGGATGATCACAATCCATGAACTGGGGAATCCCGTTCTTGACCAACCATTACGTTTCTTCTGGAATGACAACCCTAGATTCATAAACCCCAAACGGCTTTTGAATTGGGGGAGGTACCATTGAAGTATCCGATTATCATGGATTATCACTATTTGGGGAGTGCCATCTTAAATTTAACCATAATTAAGAATCATTAACCGTAGTTAACCTATATAATGAACAATTAACTTCGGTAACTAATTAACTATCACTGTTTGGGGAGTACCCCCCAATTCACAAACCATGGTTTTGAACACTGCTCACCTCACGCTACACCAAGTGGCGCTTCCAGCTGCACCGTCTTTGACCGGCTGGGCTGGATGCCGTCCAACTCACGCCCGGTGTCCGGCAGTTGAAGGACCATGGTGGCGAAACCAGTTCTAGGGTGGTTAAAAAGAAAAAAACAACTGGTGAAGATAGATACTGTAGATAATACATATAGTGTATATAACCATATATATACATATCCCATTCTTGCAAATCCCCCCGGAAAAAAAAAATGAAAAAAAAGATTCGTCTGTGCTTTTCCAGGTTTGGGGCCCCGTGTCCGAATGCGGTCTTGAGCCGACAGGGAATTCTCATGACATCTGGACGCTGCTCGGAGCATTGTAGCAGCGACTGGTGGTTACTGGTGATCCCATGCTGGCGCCTCCCTCAACGCGGCATCTTCGAGGTCGGAACCTGTGATCTGATTGTTGGTCATGGAGGTCATGGAGGTATATGCTAATCTGTGTTTTTTTTCCTATTTTGATGTGGTAAACCAACAGGTAATGATATGTGGTAAGGATATTACATGTTGTAACATGTTATAACTAACTAAAAACAGTTTAATGTTGGAAACCCAATAGTTACCATCCCCAATAGAGGTTTATGAAATTGGGTATACGGGTATACTACACCCCTAAAACTGGGATGATATTTGTCAATGACCTCCAAGCGGTTGATTACTTGGATGGTTTATAGCATTGGGTTTACCACTATAGATATACATATATATGCGTAGCTGGGAAAACACGACATCTACATAAAATATGTGTTTCAAATACATTGTATGTATATATATATATTGATCTAATCTGATATACATATCTTAAATGTCAATAAAGCAAAACAGATTAGACAAGAAATAATAAGAAATATAGAGATAAAAGGGTTGATAAACACTCACAACTTCCCCTTTTTCGAAGCATTTGTCCACACCGCACCTCCGGACACGTCGGGACCTTTGCCCCTTTCCTGTGTCGGGACCCGGCAAGGCATAGCGACTTAGCACTTGGGGAGGGCCTTGGGAATTTTGAATCAACTCCATATGGTCCATATGGAAGTTTCCTAAAATAGAGGTAACCCATAACCATGGGTTTCAATACTTTTTTTTAACTTTTTCTGATTTTGGATGATCGGGGGTACCCCTATTTTAGGAAACCCCCATATGTTTGATATTTATCAATGTACCCGAAAAAAGGAGTAAAAATCCTTGGGTCCGGAGAATGCTGTGAAGCTACGACCATCGGGGGGATCAAAGTACCAAAAAAGGACCACTTCGTTTGACCCGTAGTCCTACTGGAAGACCTGCGGTCTTTCCTGCACCGCCTCAAGATCTGAAAACAAAAAAAACTGGTTGGCACGCAGCACAGCTAGCTAGGATGGAATTCACTCAAAATTCTGAGCACAAATCCCAATCTCCTGGGGGTGTTAATTGGACAAAATCTCAGCTGTTTATAGCTGTTTATTCCAACATATTCCAACCATCACTGACATCGTTGGAGCCAATTCCACAATTCCAATCTAACTATCACCATGCTTGGCCAAAGCATCGTCGATCACCATCCCAAATATGTTCCCGTTTTGGTTTAGGGTTGCCTTCCGGGTTTAGTTCTCCCCGAAAAATAGCCTGATCCAGTTCTTCGTACATGTGTACAGCTGATCTTTAAAAAAATGTTGGGTGTTTTGTTTGAAGATCTCAAACTCGGATCCGATATGTGTTCCTTAGCATAAAATTGGTAATAAAAAAAGTGATAAAATTGGTGTTTTTGAGTCTTTCAAAGCTCCAAGATTTCGGCAGTCGCCTTGTCGCTCCAGGGGGCTGAGCGCCTGCGGACGACCAGGACGACAAAAAAGCAGCAACAGATAAGTAGAAAATGGATGTCACCAGGTGACTTACCAAGGAAAATGTGGCGAAAATGTGGGTTTCACCACAAACACTGCGGAGTTCAGAAACAACAACTGTGGACTTCATCTAGAAGACTCTGGATGACACATCTGCAAGGCACTAGCAGATCTTGAAGGACATCCAAAGACTAGGAATGCTGTGGAATGCTGTGGAATGCTACCACCCCCCAAACTGCCACGTCGTGAATCGTCGGAAGACACGTGACTCGGCTGAGTTGCTTGCCCTTTTCGGTCCTTGGCGCGGTCGGGTCCGGGATGGATCCTGGTCACCTCCACACTGGTCATCTGACGGCCATCAAGATTTGGTATGCAAGCCTTTTGAACTGGTGGGGACCACTTGTATACTGGTTACATCTGGTTACCAAATCAGTGAACCAGAATGGTTTGGAAAACTTGGAGGTTTTCTCCTATAAATCGCTACCTTTGCTCTTGTCCTTGTGCCAAACAGCCAGGCCCAAGGAAACCCGGTGGCCCCAGTGGCCCCGCAAAATACGATCAATTTCTGACCCATTCTGGGAACGCCAAAAACCATGTGTTTTCCGCAAGGAAAAACCATGAAAAACCTCTATGACACTATGACTCTTCCATCCCGAATGGACTTGAAGTAAGCTTTTGTACCGTCAAAAATCCCAAGGTCGACCAGCTCCCAACAAAAAAAGCGCACCTCCCATTCCCAGCGATCCGGTTTGCTTCTCACCGGCGGTCGCATGTCCTGGTCGAGCCCGACACTGTCTTTTTTCAGAAAACGGCAACGTGGTTTCCTCAAAAAAAAAAACATCTTCCAAGTTTCCAGTATGAAATCGACCAAATCGACTCTTAGATACTTCGAAATGATGAGGTCTTTCACTCGTCCCATCGATCCTTCCCATCCGCGTCCTGCGGCCTGCCTTTGGAGGGAAAGGACCAATCCTGGCGACCTTGGATCCAAACCCGAAAAGATACCTATCATTACCCCTATCCCACTACTATACTGTATGTTAGTTTTACATATATATATATATATAATATAATATATATATATATACAGTGTATACATATATATATATATCATCTATACATATACTTACTGTATATGTATTTTCATACATATACTTACTGTATATACTTACTGTATATACTGTATGTTAGTTTTACATATATAATATAATATATATGTATATATATATACAGTGTATACATATATACATATATATATCATCTATACATATACTTACTGTATATGTGTGTATATATATATACTTACTGTATATATATATATACACATATATGTCTTGTGCGATGGAACCATCCAAGTTTAGCTGGCAAGGCACCAAGCATCAAGAGACATACAGTTTCCATCCATGGTTCATGTGGTGAAACTATTAGCAGCCCCAAACCGCTCACCATTGAATAGGGAATATGGGTACCCGGATACCCATAGCTCCTTAGCTAACCAAAATCACCGGAGAGCTATGAAAATTTCAGATCTTCACTAAAGATGGTTAAAGATGTTAAGAGATTCAGAACAAACCCACACCCTGGGTGATATGGCTTTGTCCAGCAATGTGATATCCCATTACATCATGTTCCTCGCCAATTTTTTGCAAAAAAACATGTCTTGGATAAACCCGAGAAACCCATATCATCCCATATCCATATGCAGTTGGTAAATCATGACTCTCTATACTCCCTCTTAACGCTTCGATGCCCGTGGGTTGAATGCTGGGGCTGACCGCCTTTGGAATTCGACCATTGCTGGTTGTAGTCCCATCTTGGGTTGTAGTCGCTGCGCGGGGCGGGGGGAGGACTGCTCTTGCCACTTTTGGCATGCCTGTCAAGTGCAAATTCCGAGATGTTCACAAAAAGATAATGAACACATGATCCATTGCTTTTTTTGGGGATCTGGCTTTTCTCCCACTATCTGTATATGATTGTATATGTAATATGTATATAATATATATATATATTGTATGATTTAAATTAATATTCAAACATGTCTATGTACACAGAGACGAAGACCTTTAGAAAAATCTCGGGGGCCTCCATTCCTTCTCTGTCAATCCTGGACCCACGGGGGTGCCACCTTGCTCACCTCAGAAAAATCGAAACCGATCCGCTGGGAATCATCCAGGTGGCAGCTGGGAAAATTCCTGCCACGATCCATGGAGGTAAAAATCGCTGGGAAAATCATCCAAATAAAATATAAATGGCTAATATAAATGGTTAAAACTCCTCCAAAAATGATCTTCTGTGCATTAGACTGGACTGTTTTGTTCACACCTTTTGGTAGTTCCAAAGCATGTTGGAACCTTGGTTGTCACCTAGTTGTCATCCTGCAATTCTGTTGTACCTACACCACAAAAAAGACACCTGGCTGGCGCTTTGCGCCATTTATCCCCCATCCTTGTCATCCTTGGCAAATCATCGACATACCCGTGATCTCCATATGCTGAAAGAGCCCTCTGTAGTGTTTGGTGTATACTGCTTGGTTAATAGAGATTCCCTAATGGATTATGATAACCCCAATTGGCTGGTACCCCCCATAATAATCAATCATTCACTGGGAGATTCTTTGCAAGCAATCATCTTTCAATCGTCAGGTCGGCTCAAACGCTTAGGGCTCCCAACACACGAACCACGTGACATCCTTCTCATTCTCCTCACCATCATCAAATTCCACCCAGATGCGCTGGGGCCTTGGTGTGACCGGGGGATTCTTCATACAAAATATGGTACCCCAATGATCAACAGCCCAGTGGCTGTAAAAATCTGCGGGTGCACATTTGTTGTAAGAAAAAACATGTTTTTTTTCAACAAAAACTGGTTCCAAGTGTAGATGTTCCCTCCAATTGCCCGGTTCTTGATATTCTTTGTCTGGATCCTATTGGGTGCAATAAGTTAAATGTCACTACTTCACCACCGCAAATGGCAGCCCTCTGTGCCAAGGGGCCAATCGTTGTGAATGTAGGCAATCCGACCCGTGCGATTGTCCCTGGGGCACAAAGGAGTCCACAGGAAGTCAGCGGATCACTGGTCAAAGCAAAAGGGGAGAGACATCTACCCTCTGGTAATTTAACATAGCTATTGAAAATGGCCATTTATAGTTGATTTACCCATTAAGAATATTTAAGAATGGTGATTTTCCAGTTCGCTATGTAAACGTTTACCAGGTTACCAGAGGGTAAAACATTCTAAAACTGGGCTAGTGTCGTACCCCCAATAACTCGGGTCTTTTCCATCAGAATCATCACGGTCTCATGAACTGCCAAGAACTGACTGGGACCCTCGGTGTCCAGAACGATGCAGATCATTGACAGATTGAGTGCACCCACTCTTTTTCGAGTTCACACGAGTACAAAAAATGCAGTTGTACAATCTTGGAGTAAGCAAACAGTTCCAAACAGTTTGCATTGTTCGACGCTTCGTCGCAGTTTGCTGTCGAATCAACCCATCAACCCTCTGAGATTGCCACATCCAGCAACGTATTCGCATGCCGATCGTGGCTGGTATCTGACGGGGCAAGCAGGTGCGTTCTTTGCTAATTGCAATTTGGAGAGTATCATCTGTTGAAGACCACAGGCACAAGAAGCAGAGCTCAAAGTGGCTCAGGAAATACATGAAGTCACCTGTTCGGAGTATCCTAGGTCGCGATTGCTACGCTATGAACGAGGCATGGGTCAGCTATGACAGCATCTGTAAGGGGATGAACGTCTCAGCTATGTGTGTGCTATGGTCAAGACATGGTAGGGTTCCTCGTCCTCCATCCTTCGGGGAACAAATCCACTTGTAACTTGACCTGAGGCACACATCCCAATGCCATCTCAAGATACCTGCACCATATCATAGCCCAGTTTGTTTCCATTGCTAAAATATACCCCAGATACCTAGATGGCGTAGGACAACCACTTACACTTACTAATTCCATCCCCTTAATGTTAAACATCCCAACTGTATGGTCCCCTATCAATGTGATGTCATCTCTACATCCACCATGGTGGGGCTGGTGTTTCACTTGAAAGCCATGGCGACTTGGGGATCATTTTAATCAACCAACAATGTATAATATAATTTCATACAACTGATTTGTTCCCAAGAAGAATGGTGATTAATGTCACCAAGCATAGTGGGGAAATAATTGTGTATATATATATATTGATCATATATATATATATATGTATATATACATATTCCCATGAATCCCATCCCATTAAGTGCGCGATGGTACCTGCTGGACGTCCTGCAGCGGCCAACCATCCTCCGTCACGAACCTGGAGCCGGGGTGACCGCTAGATGGGACCGGAAAAATCGATGTTGATCATACCGTCTTAACTGGAATGGTTTTTCTAATACCCCCTGGTAATTTATAGGGGATTTATATGGGATATAATGGGAATTAGCCTCTGGATCCCCCTGGTAATTTGTCACATAGCGAACTGGAAGCCATGGCCCATAGAAACAGTTGACCAAAAAAAAAGATGGTGATTTGCCAGTTCGCTATGTAAACGTTAAAAAAAGAGGGTAACCAAAAAAAAACAAAAAAAAAACGCCATCTACGGGCGTGGAGTTGAGATGATCTCAGATCCAACACCACGGATCCGCCATGGCTCGCGGAACGGCGGAACTGGCCTCTTGACCTCCCACTCCCACTCCTGCGGTTTCAAATTTGGATCAGTTCAAAGTTCGCCACTGAAGTCACATAAGATGATACTGAAGAAACATGAAGAACTTGAGGAATCGAGAACTGTCATCTCTCAAACTCGCTACCCCCAATGGTAGACAACCCGAACCAGAAACCATCCCAACTTTCACAGTGGAGGTTTACATAGCTTTATTGCCTTGGGTGAAGCACATCCCAAATCAATCGGGATAGATCAACCTATGAAACAGAAACACTCTTTGAATCGGGGATGAACATCCCATTTACCGTTTATTTCGACCTGCTATTTTGGTGCAAAAACCAATGGATTCCATAGGTCTTGACTTGCAACCAGAATTCCTTCATGATGAGAATACGATATGTCAATATATTTCAATATATGTTCAATATATTGCAATAAATAATGATAATTCTATGAACCTATCCATCTAAAAAAAAAATAAACAACCAATATTTTACCAATATAAAATCTTTGTTATTTGGGGGTGTCTTCTCAAGACACCAAAGGCTCCACTCCTGACCATTGTCAGAGAGCACGCGGAAGGTGCCAGGCCTAAGACAGTACGGGGAGGCTTTCCCAGCATAATTTATTTGGCAAGAAATAGATTGATTTCAATTTTAAAAAGTGCTACAAAAACTCTATATATATATAGCACGGTTGTTTTTGTTGGCCACAATTGACCAGCTTGTTTTTTGGGAATTGTTGCGGAAAAAAAAAAAAAACTATATACTCCCAGTGTTTTCTTTGTCTTGAACATCTGGTTCTCAAAACGAAACACCAACAACTATTTCTCGGAGTAACAGGTTCGTTTAAGCCAATTTCGGGCGTTGGAAACATCCCGCGATGTTGGTCTTAAACAGTCTTAAACTGCAGTGAAGCAACCAATGTGTTAAACCCAATGCCATAAACCATCCCCAAATCACCATTTATGGCATTGGTGTCCCTGGTGTGTGGATGTACTCTGTGGTACTCAAGATGTTGACATATGGCTTTGCCTAGCAAATCTCGCCAAAAAATCGGCTATCCATGGGTATCCCAATCGATCCCATGGATTTTTTTTAACCTGGCTGGGATCCCCAGACGTGCGCCCCCGGCAGGCCACAACTTCCCCGCAGTGGCCATTGGCATGGTTGCGAACCTTCGAATTTGGACGTTTGGACCCAAAGGGGGATGATTTCCACGGCGCTTTTTTCCACGTGAAAAAGTGAAAACCCACGGAAAAAACAAAAAAAAAACTACGTCGCGACACGTGTGTAGAAACACCACATGAGTGCACATTGTGTGCACATTGTGTGCACATTGTGTCAACATATGAATCTGTGCCTTTGTGTGTGTGTGTAGTTGCGGCATTTCTACGTAACATTGCTATGGCTATGGCCTACCTCAAGAGATCCAGCTGACACCAGGAATGATTGTCCGATCCCATTCTTGAAGAATCCCATCCCATCATATCAGACACCCAAACGAAGCAGCGGATGTATGGAAATTCCTAATTGGGACCATCATTCTATGGGGGTGTTTAGTAAGTTTAGTATGAATTATCTATGAATTGGGGATGGAATTATTACATTTATTACGGATTACAGATGTACACATAGATATTACATAGCTTATTATTACGGATCACATAGCTTGATCCGAATCTTCCCCGATTCTGAGTCTTCCCGCCCTTAAGCCGATGTACACAGGGACGGCTCCGTCCTGCGATCTGAAAGGGACGCCCAGTTTCGGAAAGTCTCCAGAAGTTGCCACGTAAATTGGGGAAGGGAACAGACTAAATATAAGATGAATATGAAATGCACGTGAAATGAATATGAAATGCATGTAAAATGAATATAAGATGAATATAAGATGAATATATAATGAATATAAAATGAATATAAAATGAATATATAATGAATATAAAATGAATATAAAGTGAATATAAAATGAATATAAAATGAATATGTGAATGGACCTGAATGGAAGAAAATCATGAAAATCACTGATCTATCAATGGAACAAAGGACCAACCATCACGAGCCCCTTCGAAGACCCACCCCTTTCGCAGAAGATCCTGCCTTGTTGTGGCCTGTCAAGCATCACAAGGGGTGAACTGACTTTGGCAGTTCTTAGGCAACACACAGCGGGTCAAGAACAGAAGATATTTCACCCAAATGAGGGATGCTTCCCCAATCTATGGCTATCTTTTCTTGGGGAAATGATGGTAAACACAGAATGGCACTGCTCCAATCAACGGCACACTGTTTGGCATCACCCGGCCCCATAAATTGGTCCCTGGCCTTGCCACTTGCCCTTTCCACCCGCACCCTGGCGAGTATGGGACCAGTTTGATGCCAAAGCAGGGTTTCTTCAGGGCTTCATGATTGTACAATGTACTAGACTATATATAAACCATCATATGGAGTTTTCCTCAGTCATGGGGGTACCCCCACTTATCATCCAGTCATGGATGACCATTTTAGTATTGGACCTATGGTGACTCTAGGCCACAGGGGCCTGTGGCCGCGCACCTTCTCGTTTCTTTCAGCGAAGCGGACCTCCATGTTCACGGAGCTACCTGCGCTCCGTATGCAGCCACTGCTCGGGAAAAGCCATGTTCAAAAACAACATGGCCATGGATCAATAATGGATCAATATGGATCAATACCTATGAGTACCAGCTATACTATATTTAGATGTGAAAAAACCCACCAAAATTCCACGGTCTTGTCCCCCTGCCTTTGCACAGCTGCAACGCTTGTAGCGCCGCGACGTGAGAGATGTACCTGGGATTCTTTGAATAGCAATTTCCAGTCATTGGGGATGGTGTTCTACTGGGTTTGCATTCTAATTGGAACCAGTAACTGCCAGTAACTAGTATATACTAGTATATACTAGTATATACTAGTATATACTAGTATATACTAGTTACCAAAAAAATAATTCCGGTTACAACCTACAACTGTAGATATTCCAGTTACTGTAATAGATATTCCAGTTATATATTACAACCTATATATACATACATAACTGGAATATCGATAGGTCCCAACCATTCGCTGATCCACCTGGCACATCCACCCCAGGGTGAACGATTCGGCGATTCGGCGAAGATCTCGTGAATTTTAAAATGGTGGGCTCTGGGATCAGCCAATTCACCATATAACCATATAACCAATTAACTATATTATATTATATTATATTGTATTATATCATATTATATTATATTATATTATATTATATATATATTATATTATATTATATTATATTATATATATATTATATTATATTATATTGTAGTCATATTATATATATAACACCATGTATAGTCATATATAACTGAAATATTGTAGGACCCAGTGTAGAATTCGACTCATCTCCATTGAGAAAAATCGATCATCGCACAAGAGTATCGAGCCTTTCAGCCTTGGCCGCGCACTTGACGATTGCAGCTCGGCTTTGAAGGCCTTCCCGGAAAAGGGAAGATTGAGAAGATGGTGGCTGGTTTTAGTGCTTTTTTTCTGGCTGTGAGTGTGTGATGTTTGGTTAGTTTTCTAATGTTTCGAAACATTTTGTAGGTGTCCAACCAGGGATGATCAATTCGTTTGTACAAGCTACAATGAACGCAGATTCGGGAGGTAACGGACAAGATTTTGGGATTCACCCTCTCGACATTGCATGGCTGATACCATAGAACTATCAAGAAAAAGATGATTTCGAAAGAAAACCACAGCAGACTTCCCACCCCTGTCATTCATGAGGCAGGTCCAAGCCAGAATTCGCAGGAAAGCATGGCTTTAATGAGGCAAAGCCAAAACCATGGTTGCCATGGTCAAAAAGAAGGTGTATGGTTTATGGTAATCCATCTCATGTTGGGAATCCTTAGAATGGCTTTACAAAATTATACAGTACAAATCCCTGTGAACAGAATTCATGACCATCCCCTAATATGAGCACTTCGCCCAAGAATTGAACATGGCACATTATATTATACAGTAATACATATATATATACATATATATATATATAAACTATCCCTCACTTGTTTTTATGAAACTGTAGCAACACCCAGCCATAGAACACCCGTGCCTTGCCGCTGGTGCAACAAGATGCAACCTGTGATCTGGGACGCCTCAGCGGCGCGCCGAAGGGGTTTTTTTTGCCCACGATGTTTGGGCTCCAGCCGGTCCAGCCTTCACCCCTTTTTTGTAGGAACCAAAAGGAGCCTTTTTTGGGGTGCTTAATGTAACAAGCCAATTCAAAAAACCTCGATTTTCCACTGAACCTGAAATCCCCTGTGGATGGGGTCATTGATCCACCTGGAACTGATTTTCAAGTGAAAATCAAGGAAACTTTGGGAAAAACCTGTTTCCGTTTTTTCCATGGACACGATCGAGCCAAGTCGTCGGCATGCAACATGGGAAGGGATTTCAGAGATCTTGGCCGGATGAAGTCAAAACTGAAGTCCAAAATAAAGAAGTATCAAAATATAAGAGCGATTGCATTTGATATCATTAGATACATCGTGATCATGGGCCATGGGCATATAAGAAATCAATGTGATACACATTTGTTTTCTATACCCCTTCCCATTCTATCCGATATCAAGTACTCTGAGTTGGCTGCGTCGCCCCCGATGTCCTGATGAAATGCCTTCGGCCGCGGCGGGATTTTCAGGGCATCTAAGACCTCTTCGGACCAAAAGAAAACTTTGGAAATGTGGGTTTCACCAAAGATGGAGAGTGAAGCTGCAAAAATTGGGATACAAATTGTCGAAGGAAGTTTAGAAGACAAACCTCCGACAATATGGAAAATGGAAAAGCAGGGGTGGAAAGAGGCAGAGAAGAGCAAGGAAGAAGAAAGAAGATCAGAGAAGAGGAAGAGCCAGAAGAAAGAAGATCCTGGTGGGCAAAAAGGTAGAAAAGTCGAAAACACTCTGTTTTTTCCAATGTTTTGTGGCTCCGGAGGGTCGAAAAGTAGGCTCACTAAAGCATCCGGTGCGGAGCCATCCGGGAAGATTAGAGATCAAAAAATTGCACGCCGTTGTGGCGGGAAACGCATTTTGAGTCATTTTGAGATCAGAATGTCAAAAACACCTCATGTTCGGCTACAACTACAACTACATCTACACCACGTTACACTGCCCTACACTGCACTACACTACAACTACAACTACAGCTACAGCTAAAACTGCAGCTACACTACCCCTACACGACACTACACTACACTGCGCTACACTTGTTACACTACAGTACACTAGACTACACTACACTACACTGCATTACACTACGCTACACTTATTACACTACACTGCACTACAACTACACAACACATCACTACACTACAGCTACAATTACACTACACTACAGCTACAACTACAGTCACTACACTGCACTACGCTGCACCACACTACATCCAGCAGTTGTGGGTGAAGTGACCACTGCAACCACTCCAAAAAGCACAACTCCAACAACCTTTCGGTCCATCAGTGGATTTCTACAGTTTCCTATCTTTGAAACTTCCGCCACCGCCTTGTGCGGTACTACTGGCATACAATGTCTATCGCCAAAGATCGCCAAAGTAGTGGAGAGACACATCTACTCATCCCATCTAGTGCCTACATAAACCAACTTGTAGAAAGCCACAAAAGCATCAAAGTCCAACCAAAAAAAGAGAAGGGAACATCAAGGGGGTATGCTTTATCTGAGAGGTTCTTAAAATAGGGGATCCCCAAGTATCATGGGTTTCCATACTCAAATGGATTCAAATGGTCTAATGACTTGGATGAATTGGGGGTTCCCCGACATAGGAAACCTCTGCTACAGTAGCTCCAGTGGATCAGTGAAATGGCCATTGAACTCCGGCCTTGATTTCGGACTCGCTCCAAGTCGAAGGCCTTGGAACTGATCCCAAGACAGATGGTCAAAATTGAGGTACCTCCAAGAATGGATGGTCAATGTCATCTATAAATGTATTAAATTGTATTAAATACATATGTTTTCCATATTCAAAATTCAGGTATCCCCTAAAAGATTGAGGTAGCCCCTAATACAAGCTAATAAATATGAATATGTGCCAAAACTGCCACAATCTGTGGTTGCCTGGGTCCTATACAAACTTTGACTCAGTTTGGCAGTTTGGACTTCCATGGAGGACTCACCAAGTTTGATGGTAGGGATGGGATCCGCACAAGCTCGCAAAGTACAAATCAGTCTGTGGTCCTGAGGATGCTTCACTGGTACAAAGCGGCACATGTTTTTTTGGATTCGTCTCAAAATACACCATAGTACAACTCAAAATAAATGAGTAGAATTATGATTTGACTTTCACGTTTTGGAATTTGGTGGTGCCCTGTTGAAATGGATCACAGTGACCCATTTTAGACAGAAGCAAGTCCTGCTCCGCAGCCACCAGATTCACCTGATGCTTCACCCTTGATGGCCAGGGGTCAAAATCAGCCTGAATTTTGTGACGACTCATTTCCACAAATGTTGGTATACAAGTGAGCAGTGAGCATCCTGCGAAAATAAACGAAAATAGCGTATTCGAAGAGCTGAAAAATTCTTGATTCTAGGCTCGCATGCCAAATAGGTCAAAATAGTCATCACTCCCAAATCTGATTCGAGGCCATTGTTCATGAGGCTTGGCTGGTCATGAGTTCGCTAGCCGCTAGAGCTAGAAATTACGAAAACAATGGATTTATCGAAGGGAAAATGTCCGTTTGAAACCATGGTGTTTTTACCCTGGGTGGCCCCGAACAATAGGTGTTCCTGCGAACTTGTCTTTTTCTCCTATCCCTCATTGTTTATCCCCTCCCCCAATGCTCGCAAGTACCCCCCATTCGAACATGACCTTGGACTCCGACCTGAATGGCATGACCACAACCATTGGGAAGAGATTAGCCGAGTTGATCAAGCCGGATACAGTGAAGGGGTTCACAGTCGGGCCCCAATCAGTGATGCATTTTCTCCCGTGGTTTAGTGCGTTGCGGTTTGATTCCAAGATCTACAACACATTCTTCAGTCCATCCTACTTAACTCCCATCACAGGCAAACAAACCCTGTTTGGGACACAGGTGGTAAGTGGTCAGTTGTCCAAAAGGTCCTGGCTGGGCCCATGATTAACTGGAAAATCCACCAGCTGTTGCCTCCTGGTCCAAAAATGTGGATTTGACCATCAAAACTTGGGGTTGCTGAGCTACCGCCATTGGCACCTCAGTCCCATCCCCAAAAAAGCGGCATCCGAGGCCCCAAACAGCTCCTTGTCCAGGAAACTGTCCCCAACTGGCCATTCTCGAGCCGACAGGCCGCTGAGCAATCAGCGAAGCCCGCTAAAGGGCCGGAGGAGTTGACCCCTGCGACCCGGAATCGGGTGACCATCATTAATTTTGGGATCCCAAGATATAAAGAAAAGTTCATGGCCGCTATAGTTTAAGGGTGATGTTTCGGTCGCCAATGTCCCTATCGCACCACACAGTGGGAACTCGTGTTTGGGGTCGCTCTTCAAGGCACCCTCGCTCCTTCCAGCAAATCACACATTTGTGGTAGGCTACAGGTACATCCCTTCATTCCACCTTTGACCCTTGCTTATATGCCTGTGGGTCAGTCATTTGGGTAACCCAGAGATGTTGGAAAGAATGAAGAGTTCATCTGAAAACAACGACCATCCGCGGTTCTATCTGAGCCTCCAAATACAAACTGCAACCCGTCCCCGTCCAACTATGGTGCCCCTGAAATCCAATTTTTAAGCGAAATCTCCCATGTTTGGACCCATGTCACCACCAGGTATCCATTTCTCACTGCGATTCGCTTTCAGCTTGCTGTCCACAAAGGGGGCCCACAGAGGCATAAGCCACTAACGCCAGCACTACGAGGCTCGCCAGAAGCAACTTTGCCAGAGCCCATCCTGAAAGGCAGAAAAAAGAATTGGCGACAATGGCAAGGGTCATATTAAAATCTAGTGTAGCCACCAAAAAGATAGAAAAGTAAATCAGTAAATCCATACCAAATTGATTTCGATGTAATTTTCTATCTTTGGGGGGATGACATGACACGTTTTATTTTGGTCTATCCATCATCAACTGAAACTGTCACTCGGCCAAATACTTTGATGGGAGGCATGGATTTTGAAGCGACAGGTAGAGATGGAAAAGGAATAGATAGGGAAAAAAATGAAACATGTTGAAACCACCCTTCCAGTAAACACTTCTCTTTTTTGTTGATCAATCTACATCATGTCCATATTTGTACCTGACAAACAACATCGGTTCCTCATGATTCCTCTATTTGGAGATGCTGTTGATGTTCCCTCAGCGTAATTCCCGGTGTCATTGACATGGCATGAGTTTCGGTTGGGGGATGGCACCTTATAAATCTACCATGAAATGATGTGACGGACAGTTTCTACCAACCGATTGGGAAAACAAAAAGGACACATATAGTCATATAGTATCATATAGTCATATAGTCATATAGTATACTCAAGCCTACATCACATTTGGGTGGATTTACCCCTGAAGAATGTCATCATTTATTTTTTGGTCATTCTCAGGATGACAATCAGTTCTCTCCAGCCCCGCGCTGAGACACTTTGAGGCGCTCTCTCCGAAGTCTGGCCATCGGCCACCTGGGCCACCTGGGCCACCTGGTCGCGCCGCAGCACGGCAGCGCCGCCTGTGGCCCGCAGGTGCGCCAGGACGCTGGCGCGCGTCAACGGCTCAAAGGTGTCTGGCTGCAACCTGGGCCCAGGAGTTGACTCAGTCGAGGGTCGTGGTTCACAATGAAACAATGGCCCATTTATATGGGGTATAACTAGCATGTTATGGGGAAATCATTGGGAAATCATTGGGATATTATGGAATTTAATGGGAAAAACATTGGGATATTATGGAATTGATCATTTACAACCAACAAGATGATGGTGAGTCCCCAGTTGGGAATTGCAAAGTGGGTTTGTCACTCCAATAACTAGGCTGTATGGCAGATATAACTATACTTGGATGGGTTTATAAATCTCAACTTACCACTGGGGGGCCACTTTGTAATCACTAATATCATGACTGGGGTAGTCATCATATTAACGGAACTGGAACTATGGGAGAATTAATGATAATTGTGGATAAGAGTGGTAATATGAGAATCGCTTTGGAAAAAATGTTAATCATTATATAGTATATCGTAATCAAGGGGGTAATACAGTAATACAGGGTGCAAACATATTTATAGTGGGAAATCCTTGTAGTAAATCTGGTATTAGTGGATAGTTATTGTATGTTATTGTAATATTGACATTATGGAAATATGTGCCGTAAAACCATCCCGAAAAAATACATTAGCAACGGGATGATCCGTTCTGCCGCCATGGGTTTTACCACATGAATCCCATCCCCAGTTGAGAACCACTCAGTGTCTTTTTGGAAAATGTATAGTCATCAACGTGGATGATCAGCACACACACACACACAACATTGCAAGAAAAACAGTGCCCAAGCCACAGCTGAACTCCACTCTGCTCAGGCAGCAGTTTCACTTCCACTTGCGGAGAGAAACACGTCCCAGCTAGGCACAACAGGGCCACCTCGGCAAGGTGACCATATGGGAAAAATCGGTGAAAATTCACAGATTGGCCATGATGGACCCGCCAAGGCACCCAGAGGCGATATTGGACCAGCCCTTCAAAGATTTGCAGCACAGTGGTACCAATGACCACACGGTTGGAAGCGCTTCGCTCGCTACGCTCAGCCATGAAAGAAATCCAGTATCGGAGGGGTTTCCCAGGGGGCCACACCAGCCCTTGAGCCGAGTCCACCAACGGTTGGAAGTTTTTTGAAGTCCCAGTCCTTGGAAGCTGATTTATTTACCGGCGACATTTTCTCAGATCCGATCGTGAAATCAGATTCCCATCTCCAAACGCAGTTATTGATAGTTCCATATCGGATCACAGGACGTATCATGCCTATGTATTACATACCTAATGACTTAATCGTTACTCAACAGTTGTGGTTTGCACGATCTCCGGTCACGATGAATGGGGCCCCTTTTTGGCTGAGAAAATGTCTGGTCTCAAGTCCGACCAGCCCTCCTCTCGAGCTTTCAACTCAAAGAATTGAAGAACATTGATGACCATGGAACTTTGCTGGGGGGTCCCTCATGAAACTGCTGACATACAGTGAGCTAAAAGTTCAGCTAAAACAAATTTCCACAAACCCAGCACGAAAAAGTCTCACACCCTCCAGCAAATCCACTAACGAGTCGTCGAAAGAGTCGTTGAGCTTCTGAAAATCATTGGGCGCGCCGACCATCCGACCGATCCGGTGGGATGCGTGACTGACATAACTTCGCTAGGGGGACGCTAGGCCCCTTGGAGTTAACCAACGATTCCTGTGGAATCAAGGCTCCAGAAATTCAGTTTGGCGCCTCAATTCCTGTCTGCGTTTCCAACGTGACTCACCAAGAGAAAATTCACAGAAGACTGGAGAAATCTATGAAATCTGGAGAACGAGAGTCCTCTCTGATTGCTTCTGACTCTTTTAGTCTTCATCTGTTTCAATACACAAAACCATTCAGCTTTTCCAGCGGGTTTTGATGACTCCAGTTTGCCCAAGGACACTTCGGAAACGCAACAGGGCATCACGCATCGCAGAGCGCCATTTCATTGTTTTGCGTTCTTGTTCCCAAATGGTTCATCAAAAATGATCCATTGTACATATGGGAAGCCATTGGTTTTGGGATGCCCCAAATTTAGGAAACAGCCATGTGGAGTTTTGTTGGCAACATGGTCTCGCAAAGCAGAGAAATGACGTTTCACCAGGGCTATGGTTTCGCTTGGGGCCACTAACTCAGCTGGAAGGCTCCCGTTTGAAAACCAATGGTTCCTGCCAGAGCAGATGCAAAGTACATAAATTTCTGAACAAAGGCCACGGTTACACATGTATCCCACACAAAGAAGCCACATTCACCTTCACTGCAGTTGCGCAGGCGCAAGCAAAAAAAACGTGAGTCAACGTCAGTCCAAAGTCGGGGGTCAATCCATAATCCCCGTAGAAACGAAAAAACAAAAAAATCTATCAAGTCTGGCAGTATACTGTCCCCGAACTGAAAACACCTTTGGTTAATTGGCACGTTCAGGTTGAATTAGCCTATCCCCTCGATCAAGGCAAAGGTTGCATGTCACCGCAGAGTCACTCAGAGACAAGTACATAGCCAGGCCCATGTACCTCGTTGGACGAGGGATTCTTATCAACGCAAAATGGCACAACATAGTGGTAATTTAAAACAAGATTGAAACGTATATACACATACTGCATATTTGCATGGACATATATATATATATACATATACACAGACATAGACATATACATAGACGTAGACGTAGACATAGACATAGCCACACATACGCATACGCATACGCATACGCATACACATACGCATACGCATACGCATATACATACACAAAGACATACACATACACTTACACATACACATTCACATGCATGCATGGGTGGGTCCATCCATCCATCAATCCATCCATCCATCCATCCATCATCCATCCATCCATCCATCCATCCATCCTGTTAACATACATGCATCCTTATGTACATCATGCATGCTTTATCAGAGACACATCGAGTGTCCATGACATCTGGGCTCATCAGGGCCCTTGAGCAGTTCCATCAGTGGAAAACATCAGAGAGCCAACTTGAGCCAACTGCCTGCATCAGTGACACATCACCTTTGCGTCTCAATATGTTAGCGGAGCAGTGATCCCTGGAACGATCATCAGGGTGAGCTCCAAGTAGCAACAACACACAGCATCAGCAGGTAAGGTAAGTATTAACAAGTACAACAACAGCTGCAGCAACAATGGCAGAGGAACAAGTGAGGACAATGCATCAGTACAAAACCCCCTCACCAACATACGACGGCAACTAATCACAGTTCTAAGAATGGAAGTATCGATTCACAGCATACGCGGGGCTCATCAATGCAGCATTCAAAAGACTGCTAGCCCAAGCAGAAACTTTACGACTTACAACAAACAATCACAGATCAACTCCTGACAGATGGAGCAGCATCACCGGCAGAAGGACAACTATGGACAAGACTGGCAGCAGAACTCCAGTTCATCTTAGTTTCAACAACCAAAGCAGCAACAGCAGCAGCAACAGTTTGCCAACATGGGCATCAACGCCAACGGCTTTGAGACATGGAGGCAAATCCATCGAAGGTTTTCCATCCCAGTTGGGACAAGAAGCCTCGGTTACCTCACCAAACTCCTGAAGCCATCTTTTGAAGAACATCCTTTTGAAGAAGCCTTTGCATCATGAGAGTTTGAGGTCAACAGTTATGAACGGGAGAACACAGTCACCATCCCAGACTCCATCAAGATAGCCATCCTTCTCAGAGAGACAAAGGGAGCTCTGCAGCAGCATCTCCAACTCACAGCATCCGACACAAGAGACTACAATGCAGTCAGGGAGATCTTCATCGAGTACTACAGGACAACGGCATCATTCTCAAGGATGCAACAACTACAGAGCTACGACCCCAACACTGCAAATCAGCACACAACATCACAAGGTCCAGCACCAATGGACATCGGCGCAGCTTACAACAGCAGTGACATAAAGGAGAAGGAAAAGAAAAGAGGGACCATCAGAAAGGAAAAGGCAAGCATCAAGGCAAAGGATACAAACAGCTCCGACAACAACAAAGGGAAAGGAAATCCATTCAAAGGAGCATCAAAAGGAAAAGGAAAGTATCCGCCAAACAACATGAAAGGACAAGGAAAATCAAAAGGAAAGGACACATGCTACAAATGTGGGCAACAAGGCCACATTGCAAAGAATTGACGAGTTGCAGTGTACAACGTTGGCAACGATGAGCATCAACAATGGGAGGATGACCCATCATTTGACTGGTATCAAGACCAGTTTCAACAAGCATATGATCAAGGATGGTACAACCAAGATGGACACAACAAGGATATGAGCAAGGGTATCAACAACCAGCAGCATCCTCGCAGTCACCACCACCAGCATCGACAACACCAACAGGCATGGCACAGTCCATCAGTGCAATGGAGGACATCTACATAGCAACAGATCGGACAACCACCAGCAACATAAGAAAGCATCATGATAGACAGTGGTGCAGCAACCCACGTCTGTCCACCATGGTTTGGAACATCATTTCCACTCCATCAGATGAAGCAACCAGACAAACCCATCCTGAGGAAAGTCACAGGAACAGACATCTGGGTTTATGGCTACAGATGGATTCACTTCATCAACCAACGAGGACAACACATCATGATTCCATTCTACGTTTGTAATGTGAAACAACCCATCCTATCAGTCACCAGACTGATACATCAAGGCTTTGAGATCAACATGAGCGAGCAATCGACCATGACAAATCCAAAGTCATTTGAGAGTCCCGTCACACTAAAGCACGGACTACTCTACATCAACTTGAAGCTGTCACCACTTCCACATGGATAACAATTGGTCATCGGGAAAGAAGGAGGCAAGCAACGAGCCATGATAGCACCAACGCAAATGGACACATCAGGTCCAAGACCTCACAGTGGCAACAACGACATATGGACGAAGAACAACCAAGGATACATCGTGAGCATTCACAAGCGCCTGAGGAGAGCACTCTTCACACCCTTCAACACTGGGTGCCCCATCAATACAGATCAGCTTGAGGATTACAGAAAGACCATCATCAGACAACCAGGAAAGGAAAATATCATCATAGAGGATGACTATCAACAGAAGAAGAAGGATCTGAATAAGATCATCGAAGGATCAGAACGGATTGGAGAAACATGGTTCCAACCAAAGAGCATCGGCATCGAGAGGCAACATGTCCAAAGCAACAACACCAAGACAGATTATGCAAGAGCATCAGAAGGCAAAGACAGTAACATAGAAGAAAGAAGAATCGAAACCAGCAACAAGACATTGTGGCAAACAACCACAGAAGCCATCAACCGACGTTCCAGGATCTGGCCAACACATACCACCACCAGATCCAACAGACAAGACATCAGACTATTGGATAAGAGAAGGACATCTTTGGAAGAGAGTCCATGTGGTACCAAGGACATCTTACTACTCTCCAGAGTTGACATCAGATGGACCAGACGGATGGCAGTCGACCACGACGCATCGACGACGAATGGACAACAGAACCACAACCACTCACAACAGTGGACAGGATCAACCAACTTTGAAGAGAAACCATCATGCGAGGAACTACTTGAGGAAGATGAAGAGGACAATCAACAGGCCATCAAGGCAAGAGCAACATCAATGCCGAAGCAACAAACAGAACCGAAATTAACTTGACTCACATGCCTTACAGATCATGGTGTCCCATCTGCATACAGAGACGAGGCAGATCAGACGCCCATCCACATCGAAGCAGCAGCAGACCCATCATTCAAATCCACTTTGCATTCCTCAAAGTGTTGAGAATCAGTACCCAACACCAGTACTGACAGCTATCGACATCGAAACAGGTCTTTGTTCAGCAACACTGGTTCCCAACAAAGCAACCATGATGGACTACTGCGTCAACAACATCGTCGCTTTCATCATGGAAACAGGACAACGAACCATACCTCAAAGCACTGGTGCAAACAGTAGCATCAAAAGCACCAGGCATCTCAACCAGGCACTCACCAGCCTACAGCTCACAAAGCCAAGGCAGCATCGAGAGACTCCATCGAACGCTCTTTGGACAAGCACGTGTCATCAGAGAGCACATCCGAACCAACTACGGGTTCTATTTTTGGCATGCAACACCCAGTCATGCCATGGCTCATCAAAAACAGCGCTTTTCTCATCAACAACTACCTCATCCACAGTGATGGAGTATCCGGCTACTTCAGAAGATGGAAGTCAGACAACAAGACTCCCATATGCGCATATGCGAATTTGGAGACAGCATTCTCTACATGCCATCACCAGTCATCAAACAACATCCCAAGCTCGAGAACAGATTCTACCCAGGCATCTGTCTTGGAAAAGATACATCATCAGGGGAATCCTACAAGAACCATCAGAAGACAAGTCAAACCATGGAAGTACAATCGACACATGATGGACGTCACCAATGGTGCGCCATGAGCACCAAGTCCATCACACTACAATCCACACTTCGTTCTGCCAAGCACGACATCAGCACCAAAGCAGACAGAAAACAAAGGCATCACAACACAGGAAGAAGAGACACCAGCAATCGTGAATCAACAACCCATGAAAGAAGAAGCAACATCATCAAAGTAACAGAAGGTTACCATCACAGAGGGGACACCAGCGCATCCAACAACAGCACCAACATCATTTGCACCATCTATGACTCCAGCAGGAGCACCGGTTGGAAGTCCAACATCAAGAAGGACACTGGACGACAGCATCACAGAAGGAAGCACAGCAAAACAACAAAAGACAACAACAGAACAACAGGCAGCACAAAGGCCTGAGGCATCACCAGAACCACCAAGAACAAAAGGATGCATCAATGCAGTGACCGTTCAAATGAAGAATGGGCAAATATGGGCAACAAGTGACAACAGCAACAACAGAATCAAAGACAGAGCAAGGACTATTGGAACCCATCATCAAAGATTCACAAGGTTTTGATCAGGAGAAGTTGAAGAAAGCAATGATGAAGGAAATGACATCAATGGTCAATCAAGGAGTGTTTGAAGAGATCACACTTGACCAAGCAACAGAAGAGGAGAAGAGGAACATCATAGGTTCCAAATGGGTTCATCGAAGCAAAGGAGATAAAGTCAGGTCACGCATCGTTGGCATAGGATACGATGAAGTCATCAAGGACGCAGATGACGTCTATGCATCAACACCACTCTTTGCAATCCTCAGGGCCATCCTGTGCATTGCATTAGTAAGATCCTGGAGCATCAGGGTAGGAGACATCAGCACAGCATTTTTCATGCACTACGTGGAGCAACAACCAACACCCTACTAAAACCACCATCAGAGTTCTACACCAACAAGAACATCTACATACTGGAGACTGAAGAAGGCGATGTATGGTCTCAGGTCATCACCAAAAGCCTGGCAAGACCATCTAGCAAGCATCATGAGAGAACTGGGCTGCATACGGCTCACATCAGGGCCCAATGTGTACAAGCATCCAGAAGGAAAGGCATACATCATGGTCTATGTCAACGATCTATTTTCTGTAGGAAAAACAGAGGGGATCAACAACATCTTCAACAAGATCCAAGAAAAGATGTTACTACAAGCAACTGGTAAAGCATCACCAGGCAACACATTGTCCTTTTTGGGAGGAAGAATCACCAACAAAGGAGATCATGTCGACATCAGTCTTGATGATGAGTACGTGGACAACATCTTCCACGAGATGAAGCTCAACAAAGGCAATCCAGCAGCAACAACAACAACAGGAAAAACCAATGTTGGAGACGAGTAACTGCTCGATCAACAGGAGCATCAATAATTTCGACGACTTGTCAGAAAACTACAATGGCTGGCATACACCAGGCCAGACATCAGCTACGCAACGAAAGAACTTGCAAGAGCACTTCAACAACCAACCATCAAAGACCAGAAGAAACTAAGACATCTGGTCAAGTATCTTGCACACAAGACTACAAATTCAGCATCAGACCAACAATCAAACTGTATGACAAGACACCACAACAACTCGACTGGGCAGGATGTCGTCAGACAAGACGAAAGCACAACAGGCTTTGTCATCGAGCTACTTGGCACCTGCATCCACTTTGGATCACGAACGCAAGGAGTGGTAGCCTTATCATCAGCTGAACCTGCATTCTATGCCATCGGCACTGGAGCCCAAGAAGCGCTATACATCCGGGGCTTCATCATGAAAGCCCTGAACACCTAGCGCATCAACGTGCGCATCCAGACCGATAGCTCAGCAGGAAACTCTATGGCGACAAGACAAGGAGTATCAAAACGAGCAAAGCACATTGAACTCAAGTTCATGTTCATCCAGGAACTCATCCAAGGAGGCGTGGTATCACTACACAAGATACCAACCAAAGACAACCCAGCAGACATCCTCACAAAATTGGTGACAGCAGCAGAAGTGCTGAGATGGCTCATCTACAGCACTGGCATCAACATACGTTGAAGCAAAGCAACAGCAGGTATCACCAGTATCACAAGTATGTATGTAACAAGCACACATCCAGCATGCAAAGAGCAGGCAGTATGGCTAGCCATGGTTAAACAAACAACGGCAGCCATCCTGAATTTCCTCACGCACTTGGTATTCTTTAAGAAGTACCAGCGGACTACATCATGAAGTATCACATCATGTTCCCACATCGTGTACATGTACTACATCTATGGATATCTAAATGGAACTATATCGATATCTATATCCCACCGATTTGTATTTCTGCGTGGACATCACTGACTGGACATCAGGGAATCTGTGGCGTTCAGACATCAGGAAGTCGGCCATCAAAAGAAGCATCTGTTTGGTTTTTGTTTGACATCAATTTCTCTGGAAAAGACATCTGGAAAGATGTTGGACATCAGTTTGAAGAAATTCGTTTGCATCAGTTTTGTGATCAGTTAACATTTTGTCAACATCATCGTTCCGCAGCCATCGTCGCGGTGTCATCAAGTGACCATATCGAAACGAACATCGATCGAGAGATGGCAGCATCAGCGACGGTGAACATCAAAGAGCGCAAGAGCACTCAGATTCCGGACAACATCATGTTGCCTCAGCAATCTCATCACTGGCCGATCATTCTGGATCAGGTAGCCATCAAAGATCTGCAAGATCAAGGTTACCTCTTTGTGCATCTGCTCCGTGAAGAGTATCATCACCTGGAGCGCTAGATCAGTACCCCTAACGATCTCGCCAATGAGGCAAACATCGTGACCAAGGTGAAGCATCTCGACGGCAGTCTGAGACGCCCGTGGCAGCGTCTTGGGATGCATCAAGAGGTGAAGGACGCCATCACGTTATCCGTGTGGCTGATGACGGAAGGCCGCATCTGGACGGACAACATCAACGAATCCTACCTCATTGGATTCAATCCATCGACGTGGTCATCATTCCATCAGCTGTTGGAGATCAAAGGCATCAGTGGCTTTACTCGCCATCACATGGCATCATTCTACCAACTGCATGTGGGCCACACCTACCACTTTGATCCCATCGAAATGCACGATCAAGTTGTCATCAATTGCAAAGGTGACATCTCGACCATCTATGAGCAGGACTCATGAGCATCAGGAGTGATTTGGGACTATCATGTCCCTGTGACCATCGATCATGCCATGAAGGATGATCGAACTGAACATCTGATGAAGAACATCGCTGATTCCATCGGGCATGCAGGCTTGCATCTTCTCTGCTCATTAAGCCCTTCGGAGGCATCAGTGAAGCAGGGCATCATCGACGCCTGCCTGGCATCTGGGACTACCATCGCAAGTCCATCGACCATCCCAGGGAAGAGGTTCAGAGCACATCCTGAGCACCACATCTACCCGAAAGAGATGTTGGAGTACATCAGGGACAATCATCGACCCAGCAAGGGAGAACATCCCTCTGTTCCATATCATTTTGATGAACCTATGGATGAGATCGACGAGACCATCTGAGAGGCAAATCGAAATTTCCAAGATCGAGAAACATCCGGGGAAGTAATATCGTAGGATGTAATCGACATCAACTGTACAGACTTAGTGCGTCAAAGTAGCCATCTAATGCTTATGGATCTTTTCAGAGCACTATCGGTAGTGATCCTATTTTAACATCAGTCTCAGTTATATAGATTGTTAGCATCAGCTGTGGTATCAAAGATTGAAACGCCTTTATGCCAAGGAGGCGTGTTAACATACATGCATCCTTATGTACATCATGCATGCTTTATCAGAGACACATCGAGTGTCCATGACATCTGGGCTCATCAGGGCCCTTGAGCAGTTCCATCAGTGGAAAACATCAGAGAGCCAACTGCCTGCATCAGTGACACATCACCTTTGTTTTTTAGCACATCCATCCATCCATCCATCCATCCAACCATCCATGCATGCATGCCATTACATTACATTACATTACATTGCATTGCATTGCATTACATTACATTTTATACTTATATATATATACTTGGTATATATCTATATCATATCGCTTCCTGACAGCCCTTGAAAATCACCCGAAAATCTTCATCTCAATAATCCTGCTCGGCACTCGGCATCCTGCTCTTCATCCTCCACCTCGCAAAGAGTCACCAGAGACGGCAACCGTTTGCAAGCTGTCGTGGTGCGCGCATGCGTCCAAAGTACACCCGGAATGAAGAACATCACAGCCGCAGCACCACAAACCACTCCAGAGTTGTGTCCTGGAGCGACCAGATGCTTCATAGATACGACGACTTTGTCAGTCGGACTGGGCGGTCAGCTGTTGATCATTGAGGAACCCTCATTCGATGGGAGATTTAACATGATACTGGCTAATTCAAATGTCCCACATCGCAATTCCTGCTTATCATTGTTCTCTGTCATAAATGGAGGGTGTTCAAAAGCCTTATATATACTATATATATATATATTATCATGAAACTAGAAAAAAAGCTAGTTGAATTAGTTGAATCTTTGGCTGCTTCAGTCCCACTTCTTCAGTCCGATTCCGAACTCGCAGGCCTTGCCGCAAATCGTATAAGGCGCAGAGGGCCAACATCACAATGAGGGAAGCCAGCGCAGCAAAGCAGTGCTCAAAGGTCCGTGAGGTCTTTCGAAACAGACCACTGACACCCCTCCACTCCCTCTTGGCTTCCATGCAACTCACCTGGAGGTGCCAAGTTCCGGTTCAAATTACATTACATTGCATTACATTACATACATATGTATGTATATATATATATATACATATGTATCACTTGTATCATTTTTCTTCGTTCCCACCTGGCCGGTCAAGAGATTGGCACTCCACCAGTTCAAAATCAAAAGCATTGCGTGGGAAGTTCTGACCTGCCAAAAGCTGGCCACGACCAGTACGCCCATCACATGAACAGTGACGACATGCCTTGGATCTGCGATCCAGGATGACCAACAAAAATCTCAAAAAAACATGATCTTCAATGAAGAGCCATTCATAAATCTCCAAAAATCCATATAAAATTCGCAATTATATATTTCATGTAAAAAAACATATCCAAAAAAACCTTGAAACCGTGTGAAAAGCCGTGAAAAATGTGAAAAGCCGCAACTCCCCATGGTGATTGCGCCAGGCTACGGCACCTGCACCCTTTGAGTTCGCCAGGTCCCCCAATCCTCGAAGGACGCTTCACCATCGCTGGCCACGGCCCAAGCGCTCAAGGCATAGCGGGCCACGACCAGCAGCAGCCACAGCAGCAGCGTCCAAAGGGCGTCTTTGCAGCTCCAGGCCTTCCACCTGGTCAAAATTCATGGGATATTCATGGGTCATGTGATATCAATGGAATTTGAGGGTTTTCATCGGAAATTCAGAAGATTTCATCTTTAAATGATGGTGAGTGGATTGAGTGGGATTTAAAAGGGTTTCATGGGGTTTCATGGGATATTACTGGGATTTAGCAGGGTTTAATGGAATTCGAATGAGATTTTACTGGGATTCAGTGGGGTATTAATGGGATATCAATGGTATCAACGACGTTTGAAATATAATGATCTGATATTAACAAACCCACCTAAAAGGACTTCCAGCCACTTCCAACAGAAGTCAATTAAAAAAAAAAAGGAAATGGTTTGTCCATGCTTGTTCATTGCTCTCTCTCTCTCTTTGTGTGTGAAGATGTTGATATGCATTATTATGCATTGTCAATATCAGTTACATGTGTATATATATATGATATATGTATATATATATGTGACATATATATGTGTGTGTGTTTGCGTGTAATAATATAGATGTCTATATATAAGTTGAAAGTCTACGACTTTTTGAATGAAACAGTCACGGTCTCCCCCCCGGAGATTCCTCCCCGACATGGCAGGAAGTCCCAAGCTAGATGAAGGCCCTGATTTTTGTTTTACTAAGTAGTAGCTGGACAATCACCAATTCCTTCACCTTTTTATGGGCCATCCATGGTTTCTTAAAAAATGTTCAGCCCAAACAAACCATCAAAATGAATCAGATTTTTTAATTGCGTGTTTCATTACATTTGTGTACATGTGTTTATTACCCATTTGTGAATCCTTTTTGACTTGGAAGGTTTGGCAAAGGCTTAACCCAAATTTTCAAGCCACGCCACGCTGTGCCCAATCCAGTCTGCTCACAGTAGGAGGTAAGTTCTTCCGCACTTTGTGCCACCAGTTTGGTCG